GGGTGTACCCTTAAAATGTTTCCCTTAGCAAATTCCTAATATGGCCCTGATCGTTTTCTAGAGGATCTTCGAAAAGGGTCCCCAAACCCGAGGGTACTGTCTTAGGGGTCCACGGGTAGAAAAAAAAACTGAACCCCCTGCAACCCAAACTCTTCGGATGTGGGGGATTACTAAAACCCTGAACGCCCTGAAGCCCTAACTCTTCGGGCGTGGGGGGATTTATGGTTTTTTTTTTTGGGGGGGGGGGGGGGGGGGCCTGGGCTCAACCCTAAACCCTAAACCCCACACCCTGAACCCTAAACCCCAAACCCTCAACCCTCAACCCTCAACCCTCAACCCTCAACCCTAAACCCTAAACCCTAACCCTAGGGGCTATAGGGCTCATGAGCACGTCCCCGCCTTGAGAATCTCGCACGCAATTTTCTCGGGCACCCCAAGACCTTGGGCATTGAATCTTGGTAGCCCAAGAACCGGATTGTGAGGGTACTTAAGGTTTCGGGTTTAGGGTTTAGGGTTTAGGGTTTAGGGTTTAGGGTTAGGGTTAGGGTTTAGGGTTTAGGGCTTAGGGCTTAGGGCTTAGGGCTTAGGGCTTAGGGCTTAGGGCTTAGGGCTTAGGGCTTAGGGCTTAGGGCGGGCTTAGGGCTTAGGGCTTCGGGCTTGGGGCTTGGGGCTTGGGGCTTGGGCTTAGGGCTTAGGGCTTAGGGCTTAGGGCTTAGGGCTTAGGGCTTAGGGCTTAGGGCTTAGGGCTTAGGGCTTAGGGCTTAGGGCTTAGGGCTTAGGGCTTAGGGCTTAGGGCTTAGGCCTTGGCCCCTTAAAGCCCTGAACCCAAAGACCGTACACCCTTTACACCTTGAACCCTTGAACCCTCAGAGTATTCTGTTGGGGGGGCGGGTTACTTCATGAACATAACCTAGCACCAAAAAGAGGGCAGAAGTGTACCACTGGGCTGCAGGGCTTTTGGGGGCTGAGGGGGCTTCGGGGGCTTAGGGGGCTTAGAGGGGGCTTAGGGGGCTTAGAGGGGGCTTAAAGGGGGCTTAGGGGGGGGCTTAGGGGGGGGCTTAGGGGGCTTTAGGCCTTCAGGGCGTTGACGCGCAACCTCGGAGAGATCAGCGCGTGACAGCCGGGCCTCCGACGCACGAGCCTCTCCACACCCACGAAGAAGGGATGAAGCGTTTGCATCTCACAGGTGAAGCAGGCGCAGGCAGCTTACCAAGACGAAGGTTGTGCAGAATGTACTGCAGAATGTACGGGGCTTAGTGGTGTTTGGGGATTGGCTTGGGGAGGAATGGACGGCTTCCTTCCTGAGGGCCCCCACCAGTGGAAAGAGGGATAAGTCCGAATGGTCAGGACGAACCAGCCGGCCATTCATGCTGAACACCTGACAGAGTGTTTTTTTTTGCTCCTTAAACCCTAAACCCTAAACCGTAAAACCTAAACCCTAAACCCTAAACCCTTACTACATCACGGAAGGACTCTCACAAAAACGGCTCGGAACATCCCAATGCTCCAATGCGAAAGCCCTAGCCCCCGACCCACCCTCCCTCCGGGATTCTACCCTGAACCCTAAACCACGTTAAATGCCACCATTGGAGGTAGAGCCTGTTCTTGTACGTGTACTGTTCAGGCCTACATTGTTATGGGGAAACTAGGCCAACCAAAAACTCCGAAACCCCTAGCCCTCTATCACGATGATTACCAGCATTTTGTGATTAGCCAGCAAGCTACTAGTACTACTAGTATTACTAGTACTACTAGTACTACTGCTACTACTATCGCACCGATTACTACGATTACTACGACAACTACGAAGACTACGATTGCTACGATTTTCTGGCAGCACTGGCACCTCTGCACCATCGCGCATCATCTCCCTGAGCTCGCGCCCCTGTGCACCTCAGGAAGCTGATTTTTTTAACTCAGATGTTTAGGGCTGAGGGTTTAGGGTTCAGGGTTTAGGGTTTAGGGTTTAGGGCTTAGGGCTTCGGGTGAGGGTGTTTAGGTGTCAGGTAGAGGGGTTTAGAGCTTCTATGATGGCCCCAAAAAGTCCAAAATTTGGATCAACCCACCTCCCAGTCGGTGGTCAGCGTCAAAGGGCTTTGGGTTTGAGCGCTGCTGGATGTTTAGAGGGGGTTGGGGGGTTTAGAGGGGCTGGTCTGGAATGGGCTTTACCTTTTCTGGGGGTTTCAAAACCCCAGACCCTTAGCCAAGCCATAGGGGCTCATTGATGAGGCGCAGAACACCTGCCACTGAGGACGCCACGAAGGCTCTTCTTCACGGAGATCCTTGACCTTCTCTGCAAGCCCTGACCACTGCTCTGGAAACCCTGCTTGAAGGTTCATGGGTACGCTACAAGTAGGGACTGTCCTTACCGCAGGCCATAACCTTACTTAGGGCACACAGAACCACGCCTAAACCCAAACCCTAAACCCTAAACCCTAAACCCTAAACCCTCAAGCCAGCTGCACATCTTGCGAGACACCGCCGCTTGAGAGTCCGGCAGACCGACCACGTGAGCTGGGAAGTTCTGCAAGGCACGCGGACTTGCTGTTGGTTTAGGGTTTAGGGTGTAGGGTGTAGGGTTTAGGGTTTAGGGTTTAGGGTTTAGGGTTTAGGGTTTAGGGTTTAGGGTTTAGGGTTTAGGGTTTAGGGTTTAGGGTTTAGGGTTTAGGGTTTAGGGTTATGGGGGGATGAGGTACCAGGTACCCTGTATAAACCCTTTAAGGGAATGTATAGGGGGAAATGAGGTACCCTATATCCCCCCTACATATACCCTTCAAGGGAATGTATAGGGGGGATGAGGTGCCCTATATCCCCCTGTATATACCCTTCAAGGGAATGTATAGGGGGGATGAGGTGCCCTATATCCCCCTGTACATACCCTTTAAGGGAATGTATAGGGTACCTCATTCCCCCATTCCCTACTAACCAACAGTAAGAGGAGCATGGCAGGCTGGAGGAGGGCTCAATTGTCATGGGAATATATGTAGCAATAGAAACACTAGTAATAATGGTACTTGTACTCGCATAATGGCAATACTAGTAATAGCAGTTTTAATAGTAATGCTTAGTAGCCATCATAGCATCATCACCAAAATTCTACACAAAAGAACGCATACATTTTTCTGCGGAACACTAGAATCCCGATGTGCCTACTCTTGAATCCCTTGAAGTCATGCTTGAACCCCATATACTTTTCTCTGTTCTCGGCCGCTCGGTGTCCTTTCATAGTGAGCAGAGTCTAGGAGTTATCATATTCCCAACATCACCTGCAAAGCCCCCCAAGTACCATACAGCATCGTATAAGAACATGTATAGAACCATCATAATTCTTGCAACTACTTCCGTACGATCTTGTATGACGTCCATCGCCTCTCGAACTCAAAGCCTGCTCAGAAACTCGGGAAATCAAACAGGTCCCTGTGCTGCGTCCGCGCATCCTAGATGCAACAACCTGATGATGTTAAAAAATACTGAGAGTACCACATAACCAGAATCATTCTGTCTAAAAAAAGGGCATGCGGGCACCCTTCATAGCAATACTGATAACTGATAATTGTGTTAGTACTAGAAACAGTAGCAGAAGCAGCAAGAGCAACAGCAACAGCAACAGCAACAGCCACAGCAACAGCAACAGCAACAGCAACAGCAACAGCAACAGCAACAGCAACTGCATATCATAGTACCAGCAATAGTAATAGTGATAGCACGAGCCGTAAGAAAAACAATAATAGGAAAACAAAAGCCATTAGAGTAGTAATAGTCATGAGAGTAACCTGGCCTGAGAAAGCCGCATCAACGTCAGCAACGGCGTCGGCGATGACTGTATCTTGATCGTTGCCTCTGCAGGCGGGCCACTAACGGAAGCCGGGGTTTAGGGTTTAGGGTTTAGGGTTTAGGGTTTAGGGTTTAGGGTTTAGCGTTTAGCGTTTAGGGTTTAGTGCAATGGACCCTAACTTAGAGAACGACTCAGAAACAAAGGGTATTCGGCACCTTCAGTACATAGCCAACAAAAACCACAAATTGTGTCTAAGCAAGGAAAGATCTATGAAGCGTTCAATCGCCACGAAACCCTAAACCCGAAATAACCGTAGACGCTAAGCCCTAAACCCTAAACCTAACCCCTAAACCCTAACCCCAAACCCTAAACCCTAAACCCTAAACAGGCCTGGAGACCGATGTCCTTGATCTCCCCGGCCTTGAGGATCTGGTCGGTGTCCCCCCTGGGTTTCTTGGGGTTTTCATGGGTACTTGTAAGTAGAGTTATGGGTTTAGGGTTTAGGGTTTAGGGTTTAGGGTTTAGGGTTTAGGGTTTAGGGTTTAGGCTAACGGTTTAGGGTTTAGGGTTTAGGGTTGCGGGTTTTGGGTTTCGGGTTGGGGGTTTCGGGTTCAGGGGGTACTATAGGTAGGGTTGCCCTACCCATAACCCTACGTATAAGCACACGTGAACCTCCAATTAATTGGTTGGTGCCGGTTCAGGGTTGAGGAACCGGGCTTGCCGGAGACTCCAGCATCCCCTAAACCCTGAACCCTAGCCCGTGCTAGGCGCTTTTTGCCCCTGCATCGCCTCGATACATCCCCTACTTTTTGCTTAAGAACCCCAAAAAATAGAAATATTCTTCCTTATAAGGGCAATATAGGGATTTTTAATTTCTATTCTCCTGAGGATTCTTAAGCAAATAGTAGCTCCCCAATTCCAACCCCCTAAAATGCCTGGCTCCTTAGTCTATTGCTTGTATTCCTAAAACGACCATGGCCACTAGGACTGGGATTACTATGATTCCTATGATAACGATGATTTTTGCGATCACTACTACAGTAGTATGTTTACCATTCGTACTATGATTTCGATGATGGCCGTGAATACTATGATTGCTACTGATTGCTATGATTACTATGACTACTATGATTACTCTTATTATTCTTCTTATTCCTTTTATTCTTCTTATTCTTACTATTCCTATTACGACCATGACTGCAATTGCGATTGTTACGACAGCTGGTCAGTGTGAGCTGGCTCCAGCGAGGAGCCAGAGGGTCACCGCCCAGCGACGGGCGGCCTTGGACGCTTGGATGCCGTGCCAGACCTCCCGCGACTGAAACATCACAATACGCCCGAGGAGGGGAGGCACGTCCACCTCGGCTTGTCTCCCTAAACCCTAAACCCTAAACCCTAAACCCTAAACCCTAAACCCTAAACCCTTGAAGGTCGGCCAGGAACACGGAGGTTTAGGGTTTAGAGTTCAGGGTTCAGGGTTTAGGGTTTAGGCTTTAGGCTTTAGGCTTTAGGCTTTAGGGTTTAGGGTTTAGGGTTTAGGGTTTAGGGTTAGGGTTTAGGGTTCAGGGAAGAAGCAGTCTTTTGTGGCCATGGCACGAAGGCCTCGCTATTGCAGGCTGTGGATGCCGTGGACTCGGAGTGGTCGGCCGTGATGCCCAGCAGCTGCGGAACACGGCTGCCGGGTCCAGACTGCGGGGTTTAGGGTTTAGGGTTGAGGGTTGAGGGTTGAGGGTTGAGGCTTGAGGGTTGAGGGTTGAGGGTTGAGGGTTGAGGGTTGAGGGTTGAGGGTTGAGGGTTGAGGGTTGAGGGTTTAAGGTTTAGGGTTTGTTTTTAGAGCTTACCTGCGTACATATGCAGTTTTCCTCCCCTCTATCGAGGGGCTGATGTCCCAGTATGGTTTGGTAAGGAACAGTAGGCCCTACTTGCATCTACTTGCGTGATTCACCGTGAGATGGTCGAAAGCGTGTGGACTCTGAGAAAGACCTCCCAACACGCCTGATCGGCGGGCCCCTCGCCGGTTTGCAAGACCCTCAGCTCGCCACCATCACCGGGCTGCCAGTCTGGGTTCAGGTAGCACAGGATCGTGAGCACCCGGGTGTTCTCAAACCCGGCGCTCCCTCCGCTATACTTGTCCTGGTGCGGAACATAGTGTGAGCCTGGACCATATGTTGCCGCCATGATCGAAGGGAACAACCGCATCTCCGGAGCGTGGATGCCGGCAGACCTCGCTGCGCGCTCCAGCGCGCCGGGAAGGCCGGCCAGCGCGTCGCCCAGCTCCAGGAGTGCGGGCGCCCTCGCCTGCATGTCCTGGCGCTCCTCCGGGGACGAGAAGCGCAGCCAGAGATGCTGCGAGCCCGGGTTGCAGGTGCTTTGGGAGAAGTCGGACAAGGCGCCCTGGGCCGCCATGGTCTCCAGCTCCTCCCTGGCGCGTGACGCCAACTCGGGGCTCACCGCCCCGTCCAGCAACGTGAAGCCGACGCCCATCTGCCCGGCGCCTGCCCAGAGCTCCTGGGCGTGGCGCCTTTGGACCACCGAGTCGGCCCAGCCGTGCTTCCAGCACGAGACCGGCATGCTGAGCCCCTCGAAGGCGATGGACACACGCGCGATCTGAAGGATCTCCAGCATGTAGGCCTTAGCTGCTTAGAGATGCTTATAGTAACTTATAGAGCATGAGGGTTCATGTCTCACCTTCGGCAAGATGCCGCCAGGGCGCTGCAAAGATCTCCGAAAGCTTCGCCGAAAGCTCCTCCCTTCCTGCAAGAACCCAGGTGGAGTCCAGGAGCCGATTCGGTCCCACTGCGACCGTCAGGTCTCCAGACACGATCTCCTGACACTCTCCACCCACACACACCCACACACACCCACACACACTCGCACTGTTACACTTGATGCCATGATGGCAAAGCAGAAGAGCAACTTGAGAGGCAGAGGGACAAACGAGCAGCCGAAGGTCCCGCCTGGGCACGCTGCCTGGCTTTCCAGGTCAGCACGGCCTCCGGATCCTCACCCAGGGCACGGGCCAGCGGCTCCGACTCTTCGGGGAGTCCAAGCACGTTCGCCAGGGCGGCCACGAGGCCTGGAGGTGCGTAGCGGAAGCTGCGCAGCAGCTCCAACACGGGCGGTGACAGTGAACGTGGGGTGTGCAAGTCTTCCGCATGTCGGGTGCCCGGCAGCCGCGTCAAGTGCTTCTCCACGGCCGTGCCGGCACTCCGAGTGCTCGCGAAGGAGGCCCTAAAACATCCCCCGGCACGATGGCGCCGCGCCAAGCGCAAGGCGCCCGAAAGGAACACCATGGCCGTCGCCGTTTCGCCCGAGCCCCAGCTCCTGGGTCTCACGAGGCGGCGTAGGGCGGCTTGGCGGCCGGCCACGGCCACCGACAGCAGCGGCACAAGCTGAGGGCAAGCACCTCGCTGTGCTGCCATGCGGCGGCAATCGCAGCCTGGTGGCCCTACAGGTAACGACTGTATCCTGCACACAGCTACAAGTTGAACAAGCCTTGAGGCAGAAGCGGATGAAACCCGCACACGGGCCAAGAGGCCCCTGCGCCCGAGAACAAACCCAACAGAAGGTCACAGTCCACAAGGCCCCAGGCTCATCCAGGTCCTCTAAAGGCCGCCCTGCCGCTTCACCTGCTTGCTTAGAGCGTCGGGAGGAAGGCCCGGTGGGCTGAGGCTCAGAGGCCTATGGATGTTGATGTTGTTATGGGGGGGTTTTAGGGGTTTAGGGGTTTAGGGCTTAGGGGTTTTTAGGGTTTAGGGGTTTAGGGTTTAGGGGTTTAGGGTTTTTATGGTTGCGGTTCTTACAAGTGTACTGTCAGGGTTTGAGGTTGGGTGCTGGAGCTTCGAGAAGTCTTCCAGGATTCCGGGTAACCAGGGTTGCCCTTAAAGCCACCCCTAGAAATACTCCTGAATATGAGCCTCTTAACCCCAATAAGGGAAATATAGAATATCCGAAGGGCCTCTTAAACCCAATAAGGGAAAATATAGAATATCCGAAGGGCCTACCTAGGTAAGGGGCTTTAGGCAGCAAGAGCCCCGCGGCCCAACGAGGAAGACCTGTAGGGGCAGGGGCTTGCCTAAAACAAAAGGAGGCAGAGGTTTAGGGTTTAGGGTTTAAGGTTTAGGGTTTAGGGTTTAGGGTTTGGGGTTTGGGGTTTGGGGTTTGGGGTTTGGGGTTTGGGGTTTGGGGTTTGGTGTTTGGGGTTTGGGGTTTGGGTTTTGGGGTTTGGGGTTTGGGGTTTGGGGTTTGGGGTTTGGGGTTTGGGGTTTGGGGTTTGGGGTTTGGGGTTTGGGGTTTGGGGCTTGGGGTTTGGGGTTTGGGGTTTGGGGTTTGGGGTTTGGGGTGTGGGGTTTGGGGTTTGGGGTTTGGGGTTTGGTCAAATTTGGAGATGACAGATAGAGATATAACATATTGCGTGACTGAGCCAGGCACCCCGAAACCCTACTGCAAACCCCCCAAACCGCAGACAAATCGGCCCGAGCCTGGCGCATCCTCTGCGCTGCCGTCCGGCTTCTCCTCCTTGCAAGGAGGTGTGCTTAGTAGGGTTTAGGGTTTGAGGTTGGGGGTTTGGGGTTTAGGGCTTAGGGTTTAGGGTTTAGGTTAAGGCTCTAGAATTGTGAGGTTTAGGGCTTCAAACGTAGGGATTTGTGCATTCCTCGTGCCAGTAGCAATACTTGGAGGAAGATCAGCCAATCATTGACATAACGATTGCAACGTCCAACAAGATCAGAACATTGATAACTTGTGGAGCAGCCACAGAACACACAAGCATGCAAACTCGTAGTTTGCAACATGGGCCGTCCAATCCCGTGCAGATAATAGCACAAGCGCATGAATGCCGACAGGTTTCAACCTTTTTCTGGACACTTGCCCATAGGTGCCGAGGTATGCATTCAGAACCGCTGTCACCGTCATCTTGCCCGCACCTCCAAGCTGCAGGAAGTCCAAAGCAAGCTCCCACCGCGTGGCGCGCACACAGGCCCCGGCCGCGGAAGCAATGATGACATCGTCCTGAGGCACCCGGAAGCTGCACGCCTCTGCAAGCAAACACAGTGCAATCTGCCACTGTGCTCCCCCAGCACAGGCACCAATAGTCGCCGTGTAAGCCATGGCATCCACCTGCCGTGTACCCTTGAGCTCCGCCAGCAACACGAGTGCTTGCAGCCACTGCTCCCCTCTCTTGCAGGCACCAATGGCGGTGCTGTAAGATACAAGGTCCGGAGTCAGCCGAGAACGCAACATCGCGTTGTACAGAGCGATGGCATCTTGCCACTTTGCACATGCACCGATTCTCGTGTTGCAGGTAGAGATGTCCACATCTTCCTCGAACGGTACGGCCAGGGCCTCGGCCCAACGCCCAGACCCCGCGCAGGACGCCATGACGTAGTTGGTGGACACGTCATCTCCCTGCAAGGTGCGGTGTCGGAGGGAGGTCAGGAGGAGCAAAGCTGGAAGCCATGACTCCTCGGATGCCTCTACCTTACAGGCGCCCATCGCGGCTGTGTAGGCAGAAAGTGTGGGTTTTAGACGACCTCGGTCCATTTCCAGGAGGAAGGTGGTGGCTTGCCTCCACTTCCCTCCCTTTTCACATGCCCCAAAGATGGCGACAGGCGTAATCCCATCCGGCTTCAAATTCCTACATGCAAGTAGAGCCCACATTGCGAGGGCAGAAGACCAGCGAAGGCTGGGGATGACGGAGTTGAGGACAGCAGTGGTCAAGAGCCTCTGATTCCCCAGCGAATCCACAAGAGCTACGGCCTGCTTCCACTGACCCCCGCATTCGAAGGCACAGAGGCAGATGCTATAGGTATAGGCGTCACCCTGCAAGGAGCCCCGCAGCGATCGGAGCAAGTCTACTGCCAGCAGCCACTGTTTCCCTTCCACGCCGGCATTCATGATGGAGTTGTACATAAACAGGTCTGCCTGCAAGCGATGCGAGAGCATCTGATTCATGAGTGACAAAGCCTGCTCCCACTCTGTGCCTTGAGTACAGGATTGGATGGCTGCCGTGTAGGCGACCACATCTGGCTGCAGACTCAGAGCTCCGAAATCTGTCAGCAACCCAACCGCTTCCCTCCACCGCCTCCCTGCGCCGCAGGCGCTGATGACAGCCGTGTACATGCGCAGGTCCCCTTGGACGTGCATCCGCTGCATGGATTCCAGGAGATGGAGGGTGGTCTGCCACAAGCCCTGCTTGCCGCAGGCGCCCATGGCTGAGCTGAACGTGATCTTGTCGCCTGGACAGCTGGCAGCTTCCAGGTCTTGGAGGAGCTCTAACACCCTCTGCCACTGGCTGCCCCTTTCGAGCGCCGAGGCCGCGGTATTGTAGGCGATCAGATCCACTTGCAGTGAGCAGGCCAGCGCCTGGCTCAGCAGCGCGAGCGCTTGCCGCCACTGCCTTGCCAGCCCACAGCTTCGCATGGCGGCCGTGCAGACCGTCACATCCTGCTGCACCCTCCGCGCAAGAAGCGAGGCCAGCAACTCCAGGCCCAGAAGCCACCTTGCGCTGCGGCCGCATGCCCCAATCACGGCGCCGTACGCCTTGGCGCTTGCCCCGGTTCCCTGCTCTTCGAGGTGGGCCAGGAGCGCCAGACCCCGCTGCCACTCTTCGGCGGTGATTGCCCCACTGGCTCTGTTCCGAGGAAGCTTCAGCAGCCCCTGGCGGACATCCTGCATGTCCGAGGGCGCGCAAAGCTGTGAGCCAAAGCGGGCTCCGCTACGCAAGGGGGAGGAAGTAAAGGTGTTTTGGCACCTCACACCCCAAACATGACAATGCAAGCAGAGGCCAAGAGTCCTCTTTGTCAGTCTTGTCATCTTCCTGACAGGCAAGCTCTCGCAGGAGCACATGGACATGGTTTGAGATCAGGCGCTGTGGTGTCTACGGCCCTCTCAGCTGACTCATCACCAAAGTGCTCAAGGCTTCACAGCAGGCCTTTTCCTCCTCCGCGTGCGTTTTGTACCTCAGCTCGGCATGTCACACGCGACTCTGATGCCTGGCCCTGACGCACGCCCCATGAGCCGCATGCAGCCAAACACGACTTGGGCATCCAGCTCGCTGCTCTTGATGGCCAGTTCGAAGCCGTACCTGCCCCCAAGCTGTTCGCGGGAGGCTTATGGGCGCTGCTTGGGACATGTAGGCTATCCCCCCCTGAATCTCTGCCAATCCTCCATGCACAACTCGAGCCACCCGCGCCCCAGGATCAGGGTACCCCCCAAAACATCCATGTCTTACGCTTATGCCGCCTGAAGAGCCCAAAAGCTCTCTTAGTCCCTCAACTTCCCAAATCCCTCCTAAACATCCTGAATCTAAGCCCCATCGCACGAAGAACACGCCCGAAACACGACTCATTGAGGCCGCTGCACTGCGCACCATAGACCCCCAGCGTCACAGCCAAAACCGAAACCCCACACCCGAAACACTCCACCTCCCACCAAGCCCCAAATCACCACAACCTAAACCCCAACCGGGTTCAGTTCAGGGCCAACCCTAAACCCTAAACCCTAAACCCTAAACCCTAAAACCCGAAACGAGTGCTTTGGGCTTAAGGTTGAGGGCCCCGGGTGCCCAGTGAGGAGGTCGGCTCCAGCGTCCTCTGCGCTTACAGGGCCGTCTGCGTGCCTGCTGGTTGGGCTTTCAGGGTTTAGGGTTTAGGGTTTAGGGTTTAGGGTTTAGGGTTTAGGGTTTAGGGTTTAGGGTTTAGGGTTTAGGGTTTAGGGTTTCAGCGCACCGTTATGCATCGACACCAAAAACATTCACACAGGCTGCTGTTAGTAATGCCAGTAGGATTCATCATATATGAAAAATGGGTAGTTAGTATGACGATAGCAATATGAAGAATAACAGCATACATGATATTCAACCGGCTGTGAGCACTGTAGCTTCACGACATCAGTAGGAGTACCTATATGAGAGTTTGGTTCTTCAACCTTGTAGGTACGTGCAGCTCAGGAAGAATCACTTGTGCCCACCATTCCGAAAACAAGCGGAAGCTTCTTTCTCGCCCTGTGTGTGCTTCCATGCATGAGGCAGGCCTAAACACGACCTGCCACGGGGAAGTCGCCGGGAGTTGCGCGACCTGCGCGTGGCGTTTGGGTGTAGCGTAGGCCGAAACAGATTGGATCCTGGCTCTTCAGCGCGGGTAGGGGCGACACAACCTTACAAGCCCTGAAACTTAGAAGACTTCGAGCCCTAAGCCTCTACAACCCTGCGACGAAGTGCACAAGCCCCTAAACCCTAAACCCTAAACCCTAAACCCTAAACCCTAAACCCCGCCGACACCCTGAAGTTGATGCCCCCTCGAGCTGCTGCCCTCATTTTCGTCCGCTGGCTCGCCCCAGAGCTCAAGCAGCTCACCGCGGTAGGCGGCGTGCAGGCAAACGCAGCCTGGGCCCCGAAGCCATGTGCTTCGAGTAGTTGCATGGTCCCTTCATGTTCATCTGGGCCCTTGAAATGGGGGCCTCTTCTATACCCTATACAACCCAAGGGCCCATACATCAGACCCTACAAAGCTGGGCAGCTCTAGGGTCCCTTTTGGGGGTCCTTTGCTATAAGCTGCCGTACTATGTATGGGACCCAACAGGGGAACCTAGTTTAGAGAACTACTCATGTTGTGGGATTTTAGGGCTGAGGGTTTTGGGGTTGAGGATTCCAGGGTTTAGAGATCCTAGGGCTGAGGGTGTTGAGGGAGTTTCCACATAAATCTTAGGGTAGTTACATGGTCCCTCAGCATGGCCCCTTAAAAAGGGGCCCCTTATACACCCCCTATATATACCCTATAAAACCGGCCATACATCAGAACCCTTTAAGGGAGGTAAGGGACCCTATTAGAGGACCATGTAACTACCCCCTTAGATTAACCCAAAACCCGGCACCTAAGACTTGGTGCTTAAACGATCGGAACGCAGACGAAGCCCCCAAATGGAAACAGGGTTTAGGGTTTAGGGTTTAGGGTTTAGGGTTTAGGGTTTAGGGTTTAGGGTTTAGGGTTTAGGGTTTAGGGTTTAGGGTTTAGGGGTTTAGGGTTTAGGGTTTAGGGTTTAGGGTAACTGTTGACATGGGATTAGGGCTTGGTGGTTATGGTTTAGGGTTTGGACACGACAACTCCCGAACAGACCTATAACGCCACAACTAGAGGCTTCAAAAGAAACTAAGAACCGCAAAAACGAACCATTGACTGCAAACGCCCCCTCACACACACACACAACCAAAAAAAAAAACTGAGGCGTGTGAAGGGCACTGCAGGATTCTCTGAGATATTCTGAGATCACGCCAGGGATACTCTGTGGGACACGATGTGGGCATCTCCCAGGGCACTCCGGGGGACACTCCATGCCAAACTCTCTCGAAAGGTTCGGAGGTGGGCCAGGGATTCTCTGCCTCGTTCTCTCCCTAAACCCTAAACCCTAAACCCTAAACCCTAAACCCTAAACCCTAAACCCTAAACCCTAAACCCTAAACCCTAAACCCTAAACCCTAAACCCTAAACCCTGCGCGATTCGGGTGGACACTCTGGGGATGCTCTTCGGGATTCTCCAAAGTGATACTCTGCGTACACTTCAGGGATCACACCGAGAATTGAAGGAAAAGAAGAAGAAGAGTGCAACGCATGCGAGTACCCCCAACAGAAATGCTAAAGATGTAGTGGCAATGGCAATCAAAACGCCGACAACAAAAGTCCTTGACAAGAACAAGATGATCGAAGTCTGTGCAGCGGGCCGAGTGTGGCTGGCACCAGGATCACCAGGGCCTTGGGAAGGCCCAGGCACTCCAACTTGAAGTAGGAAGGATTCCGCACATCACGTGTGGGTCTCTGTCGCAGTGGAGGAACCCTAAACCCCAAACCCTAAACCCCAAACCCTAAACCCTAAACCCTACAAGGGTGTTGAGATCCCCACCCTCAGACTCGCCAAAGACCCGACAGCTCCGCGACCATCCGAACGGCCCTGTGGGGCTCCCCACAGGAAGGCCAGGGAGGTTGAATCCATACACCGCCGCCTGCACAGAAGGTTGGGTTTAGGGTTTAGGGTTTTGGGTTCTGGGTTTTGGGTGTTGGGTTTTGGGTTTTGGGTTTTGGGTTTTGGGTTTAGGGTTTAGGGTTTAGGGTTTAGGGTTTAGGGTTTAGGGTTTAGGGTTTAGGGTTTAGGGTCTGAAAATGCAAGCTTGGGGGCAACCCTCCAAGCCTTCTTGGCCACCTCTACACCAGAAGCCCCACCTGTGTTTCGATTTGTACCTACATCTGTGTAGCAACTGCCCCTGCACTTCTAATGTGTAGCCCGAAACCCGAAACCCTGAACCCCAAACCGTAAACCCTGAATCCTAAACCCTGAACAAAGAGAGTTCCCAGGCCAGGAACCCCCAAAGTAGCTTTGAAGGCCCTTATTCAGGGCTTTCTCGAAGGCTCTAGAGTGTTCTGGGTGTCGAGGGTAAACCCCAAACCCTAAACCCTCAACCCTGAACCGCTGGCATAGGGGCTTTTAGGACCCTAAGCCCCAAACCCTAAACCCCTAACCCCTAACCCCTAAACCCTTAACCCTAAACCCCCCCCCCCCCCCAAGCTGCACGAAAATGCGCACAACGCGCTCGACTCACCGGGATGCCTCGCAGCCGGCGGACCTGGGATGGAAGGGTGTACCCCCTAAACCCTAAACCCTAAACCCTAAACCCCAAACCCTAAAAACCCGCAGCGCCTGAATGGCAAGGCCTCCACCTGCTTGGTTGGGGAGGACCGGCTGGGCGGCATGCGCAACTTCTCTTTGCTCAGGGCATCGATCCGTCGGTGCTCACCCTGAACCCTGAACCCTAAACCCTAAACCCGAAACCCTAAACCCTAGACCCTAGACCCTAAACCCTAAACCCTAAACCCTAAGCCAGCAGCTTAACCCATGCCGGCGAAGTCATACCGCCGATGTTCTGGCAACAAGGTACTTGGAGGTTCATGGGTGCTTATAAGTAGAGTTCCAATTACTCGAAGGAAGGTTATAACCATAAGTTAACTTTCTTATCATCAGTATGCTGACTATCAAAAGGGTACCCCTTTTGGAGATTGGGTACTGTATAAGACCTGGAACCAGTAAAAGAGTAAAGGATCTAAAGTACCCATGAACCTCCCTAAACCCTAAACCCTAAATTCCGGCTGAGGGCTCGCTATCACCACGTGAGAGCCCGAAGCCGTCCGAGCGATCAGCGAGCGACCTGACCACACGCAACGTGCAGCCCAGGTAAAGCTGTGGCTGCTGAACGCCTTGGCAAGATGAGCACAGAGCCGTGCGCTCCAGGCGGTCGAGCCTTTCAGTGTCAAAGGTTCAAACCCTAAACCCAAGCCCCCGTGCCGGCGCCACCGCCCCCCCCCCCCCCCCCCCCCCCCCCCCCTCCCTCGCCCCCGGGAGCCCGCTCCTTGCCCTGAACGGCTTTTTTCCACCCTGCGCATCCCCCATGTTCAGGGGCCCCCCCCCCCACACCGAGACGAACTTAAAGACTTTGCCGGCGCCCCTGCACCCGTCCCGAAAAAGTGAGGGCTTGCGCCAGGTTTGGCAGCCCCGTTTTGCGGCGGCGGGCCAGCCCTGAGCGCCGGCTCTCAACCGGGGCGGCCAGCCCAACATCCGCTGCAGTGGAACAGGCCCACTGCGGATAAGAGCACCAACCAGACTCTGGGGCCGAAACCCTATACGTCGGGTGGTTTGGGGTGGGTGTACCGCCACGCGACGCGCGCGTAGGAGTGGGCCCGTGAAAGCCAATCTATAGGGCCCACGACGCGCCCTCCAAGTGTTTCTGGAATTCGGGGTGGCTCATGGGCTGCAAGAGGTTGCAGAAGCTGCTCGGCACAAGCTGGCATGAGCATTCCAACCCTGAACCCTAAACCCTAAACCCTGAATCCTGAACCCTAAACCCTAAACCCTGAGTCCTGAACCCTAAACCCTAAACCCTGAACCCTAAACCCTAAACCGGTGCAGGGGTTCGGGAGGGATGCGGGGATGCTGGAGGTTGTTCAGAGCTTCAGTTGCTTCAGGGATGGGCACTTTTTGCAGGTCTCAGGGTCTTACACTATCCCTTGGGGACTGAATCAATCCCAAAATTGGGGTCATGCACCTGAGACTAGTATAATCCCTATTCAGGTATATGAACCATAAACCCTTTTAGGGTTCATTTCGTCCCCAAGGAATTAGGGTCAAAAAGGGCTTTAGACGGCTTTCGGCTTTGAGGTTTTCATGGCGCTGTGATCTTTTCCACGGAGTCCACGGTTGCTTTCAAGAAATGGACAGGCATTGCTTTGCGCGAAACGGATAGATAGGCATTGGACTTGCCTGGAGGACTAGCAGCTGCTTGCACATGCTTCCGGCAGGCCCACAGCATGTTGGAGAAAGATCAATTCAGGCTTTGAGACAGCTGGAAGGTCAAACCACAAGTATCCGCATGCTGCTGGCTCTGTCGCTGGCATCCATTTCTCAGCGAGAAGCTCGTGAAATGGTGCACGTGCAAGTGGCCGGGCATCAAGCTGCACCGAGCGAAGCCCAACAAAACTCCGAACGATGCAAGGAAGCCCTTCCAAATCGGAGCAACTCAAGTCACGCCAAACAAAGCACATGACTAAAGCGCAGGAGCGCTGCGGCTTTAAAGGCACAAGATATTCAAACGGTCATGCCTGAGTAGGGGTGTAAATTCGAACCCCAGTCGTTTGACAAACACACATGCTCGATGGATTAAGCATATACCTGAACAACTGTAAACAAACTGACTTACTTTGCCACTTCCGCCTCTTTGGGCAAGAGCTTGGGGTCGAAGGTTTCAAAACCATCTGGCAGGACAGGAATCTGAACGATCGAGGTTTGACGAAGGATCCTTCTCAGCGAGGTCCTTCGTTCACTTCAGAGGCAGGCCCCCCCCCCCCCCCAAACCCTAAACCCTAAACCCTAAACCCCAAACCCTAAACCCTAAACCCTAAACTAGCAGACCTTAGCCCAACCAGAACCCATTGCGGACGTGCCCCACCCCGCTCAGAAACACGCCTCTGAGGCACCAAAGTGCCCTGCGACTCAGTACTGGCAGTTGTATGCCACCAGGCCGATCTTCTCCCCGTCGCCAAACACCACGAAGCGGTTTGCCATGGCGTAGCCTCATTGGGTGTCCGAAAAGTAGGGGGCACCTTTTTTGGGGGGCCCCGTTTAAAAGGGAATTCTAGTCTATTTGGGGTATAAAAGGGGGTACCCCCAATTTTTTGCGGAAATACACATTTCTGTGGTGGGGGGTTCCGAAATTAGGCTGTACCTTATGAATCCTACTATTTGAGGGTTGAAATTTGGGGTCCCTTTATTTCGTAAACTCCCATATATGGTTGCGCCGCGCGGGAGCCCCCACCCCCTCCCCCAAAACCCCCCCCCAAGGATGGTACGGGTGTGGGGTTTGGGTTTTGGGAGGGGTTAGGGCTGGTTTAATTAGGGGAGACTCGGGGGGGACACCATGGGGGGGGGTCGAGAACGCATAGGGCGCAACCACATATACGGCACCGTTTCTTGAATATGAACTCCTTTAACAGATTCTACTTAACGTACAACGTACAATATATGAGTCAAAGGTAGCTCAACAGCGTGACGTTTCAAGTTTCGACACCAGTGCACGAAAGGATGTCTAAGATAATATGGAGGCTTGAGTGATTGGAGTGGTATTGGGGGCAGCCTGTACTTTACTCAAAGAACCTTTTGCGGTGCGATATGGTGCGACCGAAGTAAACAACTACACACGAGCTTGTCATGTGCTCAAACAAACAAAAGGTCTGAGGGCGGCACCGAGAAAGGACAAACAAGCCAACGAGTGGGCCGATAGCCCGGGTAACAACATCACGCCTACCACTGTGAGGAAGTACAAAAGTACCCACCCTTTCTCAACCGTCAGCTACTTTTCGACGGCGGATGAGTTAAAAGCCGGTTTGGGTTTTTTCCGGGGTTTTCGCAAAGGCCCTCCATGGCTTTGCAACCAGTGTCTGCCGCGTGGCACCGGGTGACGGTCCCTCTTCCCTCACACTGCTACAAAGCACATCCGAATTTAGAGTTTAGAAGTGCTTCTAGGGCAGCTTCGGAAGAAGACCGGCATGACCTCAGGCTCTTTTCGAGAACGAGCATCTGTCCCAACGTCGTCGGCCATCCCTGCGGCGGAAGCCCCAGTCCTGGTATTGCTTGTTGCGGCGGCGCCGGCGCTCGTCGCTGCAGTACCACTTGACACCTCGGTTTTGGGAGTAGGTATGTCGGCTTTCCTTCTTCTTGAAAGAAGCCTACTTGGAGGTTCAGGGTACTTGTAAACCTCAATTTTCACTGCACATATGTAGGTGATAAGTAGACTTATAATTGGGGTTGCAAGTACCCATGAACCTCCAAGTAGACCCTACGCCTCTTAGACCTGGAATGTGGCTTCTACGAACCCTGCTCTGCAAGCTCGGAGCTCTACGAAGTCCACCCTAAACACTACACCATGTTCTTCTCCTCTTGTCAACCGGGGGGAGGGGGGTGGCGGTTAGGGTTTAGGGTTTAGGGTTTCGGGATCTGGGTCAGGGGAAATCCCTTGCCAAGAAGCTCTTCGGCGCGTTGTCGCGGCCCCATGACCCCTTCCGAAAAGTATCCGCGTACACAGACCTGCAATAGGTAGACCCAGGAGTAAGCTAGGAACAAAAAGGGTGCCCTTTTGGGTTAAAAGGGGACTCTAAGGGAATCCCAACCCTACAAGAAAGGAGATAAAATCCTTGTCCTAGAGAAGAATCCGGTTCCCAAGCCGACTACAGCGAGCTCCTGCTGTATACCCCAAATTCCCCAAAAGGCCCTAAGCCCTGAAATTCTTGAAACTCCCCCGCCTGAAGACCTGTGAGCCCGTGCTCTTGTCGTACTTCCAGTATGTACCCGAATTCTGCCAGGCCAGGTTCTTCTCGTCGTCGTAGGGGTACCGATCATCCACGGGGTAGAAGCCCTGGAATCCGACGGTGCCTTTGCACTTCCGGTCGTGGTCGCTGATCTTGTGGCAATTGGGACCGATCTGGGACGGATCCTGGTCGCCAATCCTCTACTGAACTCGGAACCCTAGCAAAAATTATAACTTTAGCTGCTTCTTCGGAATTATTAAAGCACCCAAAAAAATCTAGTCTTAGCTGATTCTTAGTAATTATTATCAAGTACCCAAAAAATGAAAAATCATTTCCAGATACCCCTAAGAATCAAGTTCTTGTTGCTCCAGAGCTTGCGCCTCTTCACGATGTCCATTCGCGTGCTGAAGCGAACCTTGGCGAGTTGCTGGGCGGTTTAGGGTTTAGGGTTTAGGGTTTAGGGTTTAGGGTTTAGGGTTTAGGGTTTAGGGTTCAGGGTTTGGGGTTTAGGGTTTAGGGTTTAGGGTTTAGGGGTACACTGGGAGCCTGCAGATGTTGCGGGGCTGCCGCTTCATGGATCTGAGGACCGTTTGTTGGAGGTAAGTTTCTTGGAACCCTAAACCCTACACCCTGAACTCTAAACCCTAAACCCTGGACCCTGAACCCTAGACCCTAGACCCTAAACCCTAGCCCTAAACCCTAAACCCTGAACCCAAAACCCTTCTTGGCACTTCTTGGCACCTTGAAGAACCAGAAGACGGTCGCCTCGAAGCCGGCCTTGCCTGCAAGTAGGCTTCTTGGGGTGCTTGGGTTTAGGGTTTAGGGTTTAGGGTTTAGGGTTTAGGGTTTAGGGTTTAGGGTTTAGGGTTCAGGGTTTAGGGTTTAGGGTTGAGGGTTTAGGGTTTAGGGCTTAGGGCTTAGGGCTTCGGGATTGGTATTCGCGGTGTCATCAAGTGGGGGCTCGTAGCACAGGAGCCGGGCCTGTGACAGCAAACTCATCATCGTCGTCATCCGCACCGTTGAAGGTGGGCCCCAGGTTCCAGAACTGCGCCTCGAGCTTAGGGTTTAGGGTTTAGGGTTTAGGGTTTAGGGTTTAGGGTTTAGGGTTTAGGGTTTCGGGTTTAGGGTTTAGGGTTTAGGGTTTAGGGTTTCGGGTTTAGGGTTTGGGGTTTGGGGTTAGGGCATCTGGTAACTTCAAAGGGTCGGGCTCGCAGCTCTCATCGCATGTGCTGACTACCAACCACGGCCGCCTCAAAGCTTGGAATTCTCCCAGAAGTTCAAGCAGGTAACCACTGTGGATCTTACTGTACTCACTTCAAGTTTGAGGACAGGTCGAAGACGACGGCCCCCGATTCCTCCCATCACTTGTGTGTCGAGTAGCTTTCCGCCCCTATTCCCACGGATGCCGAACGCTTTGCATGTCAGTACCGCTACGAGCCTCCGTTAGAGTTTCCCTGGCTTTGCCCTTCGCAAGCATACTCTATCATCTTTCTGGTCTTACGACGTATGCTTCTGCCATTTGATGGGTCGGTTCCTGCACCTGGGCGCGTCCGCCTTCCGTTCAATGGGTTGAGGGGTGAAGCTAGGCCCGCACCATTGCGATAAGTCCAAGAAACTGAAAATCCCGCATGACTCCAGAAACCCTCGAAGCAAAACCCCCAAAAACCCCGAAGCCGTAAACCCGACAGTTACCCCCACCGCCTGCAGCGACACGTAGGCCTTGGCGGTGAACAGCCCTCCAAGCACCTTCAGGGGCTTTCCAAGCATGTCAGTGCAGCGGAGAGCTAGGATTCCTCAGGGGGAGCCGAGCAGGATTCCCATGACGAGGTTAAGCCCCAAGCACCTCAAGCGATTTTCTGGGGGCCTCGACCTTTCAAAGGAGCCCTCAAAAAGCCAGAAACCTGCCAAGCACCCTTCTGGCACCACCTGGTCGACCCCACTACGATCCCAACAATGTCGCCTTAGCCCGAGCTGCTGACGCCCCCCCCCCCCCAGGGCACTGCTCTCATGTAAAGTTTGTGTAGAACGTCCAGAAGCTATGCAACAACACGGCTTCGCAGGGAAGCTTACAGCTGACCAAACCCCCATGCAATCCTAGGATTTTGGGGGTTTCCTTCAGCTCGTCGCAAGTCGAGGATTCGGGGTAATTGCCAGCTTCGGAGCCCCACGCTTTAAACGCCCGGCGGGGGGGGGGGGGGGAGGCTTACAAGGCTTTGCAGTGCTCCAAGACTGTGAGACCTTGGGTTAGGATTTTGGGGGCAGGGTCGGGTAGGTGTGCCTCTCAAAGATGCAGCGCACAAGGCTGCCAGTGGTGCGCTGCTACTTCTTGGGCTGTTCCCAGCAAGCCGCACGGGGCACTCATGCCCGATGTTTCTCAGAACGAAGATTTGCCTAAACCCTCAACCCTAAACCCTAAACCCTCAACCCTCAACCATCCTCAACCGGCCTCGATTGTGACTTCGCCCCGGATGGAGCCCTTGACATCCATAGCGGGCGTGTAGCTGGCACTGGCGGCCGACTGGAAACTGACGGTGCCTCGCAGCCAAGACGTGAAGCGACCCTCAACCCTGAGCCCCCTAAACCCTAAATCCTAAACCCTAAACCTGAAACCCCAAACCCTAAACCCTAACCCTAATCCCCAACTGGAACCCAAACCCCAAACCCCAAACCACTCGTGTCCAACCCTGCCTTCAATGGCAACGGTGATCTTGCCGATGAGGATGTTCAGGCCGCCCTCGAAACCGATGGTCACCGAGCCCGAGTACGCCGAGTAGGTCTTCCCGTCCCAAAATGCCAGCACTTCACCCTTTGCCGTTCCACGGGCATAGATTCGGATGTAAATCGGGGGAATGTTGTACGCGATGCCGCCGCCTGCGGAACCGGAGAAGGATGCGTAGCTCGACGGGACCTTGCCAGACGTTGTGAAGGTGCCGAAATCAGAGGCATACTTCACAACTCCGAAGAAGTCCTTGTTCTGCGACGTCCCACGCTTGTAGGTGTACCCAGCATTGATGAGGCTCTGGCATTGCTTCAAACAAACACCGGGTTTCGAAGCCAATCTCCGCCCCGTGGCGTTTGACGTCCCGTTGTCAAGATCGTCGTCGGCGTCGTCTTCGGACTCTTCCGTGTCCTGGGAGGGCCCTGTAAACCCCTTCGGAAAAATATACCTGAATATGATCCTCTTAAACCCAATAAGGGAAATACAAAATATCCAAAGGCCTGCCTAGTCTCTGAGGTGTTGCCCAGTGAGTCGACGGAGAAGACCAGCTCCCAGTACGCAGCGTCCTCCTTCCGGGTAAGAGCTCCCCTGTGTAATATAGGGGCCTGAAGAACTAAAACAGGGTTTTGGGGCTTCTTGTAGTATAAGTATAAAGGGACCCTAAAGGAAAATTGTTAGTCATTTTTCCGACCCCTATGTTAAGTTCAGGGGTCCCCCCAACCCTAAACCCTAAACCCTAAACCCTAAACCCTAAACCCTAATCCCTCAACCCTCAACCCTAAACCCTAAACCCTCAACCCTTCTCTTGAGGAGACCCCCTATGGTTCGCCCCCTGCGCCATCCTCACTCAAGCGGAGGCTGCATCCTTCCTGGAGGCACACCTCGTTCAAGCTCCGGTAGAACCTCCAAGCAGAGGGGGTTTAGGGTTTGGGGTTTAGGGTTTAGGGGCACATTGGTCAGGGGGCGAAACGAGGCCGAAATGAGGTCTCTGGGAGGTTCTTGGGTTGAGGAGTTCCAATCGCTGACCGTCTTCTCTCCCCTGAGGACTGCTGTCTTGCGCGGCATGCACAACGTGCTCCTTTGCATAAGAGCTTGAGGGTGTGAAGGCCCCAAACCCTAGACCCTAAACCCTACACCCCAAACCCGAAACCCTAGACAATCAACCCTATGCCCTAAGCAGTAAACCCTAAACCCTAAACCCTAAACCCTAAAGCCGCAAATGTTCTAGGCAAGAGGCTCTAGGTTGCTGATGTTCTCATCCGCAGGTGTTGCAAAATCCTCGTCCATGACTGGGGTCGTGAGGCCATAAACCTGCCGGGGCCAAGGGTTTAAGGTTTAGGGTTTAGGGTTTAGGGTTTAGGGTTTAGGGTTTAGGGTTTAGGCTTAGGGTTTAGGGTTTCGGAGTTAGGGTTTTGGAGTTAGGGTTTAGGGTTTTGGATTTAGGGTTTCGGAGTTAGGGTTTCGGAGTTCGGGTTTAGGGTTTAGGGTTTAGGGTTTACAGCTTAGGTGGCCCGACTTCTATGGGTACATATGAACCTCCAAGGAGTGCAGTAATGTAGGGTTTAGGGTTTAGGGTTTAGGGTTGAGGGTTTGGGGCTTAGGGTTTAGGGCTTTGGGGTTGAGGGGATTAGGGTTTAGGGTTTAGGATTTAGGGTTCGGGGGTTTAGGGGGTTTAGGGGTTTAGGGGTTTAGGGGTTTAGGAATTTAGGGGGTTAGGATCTAGGGCTTGGTATTTAGAATAGGGCTTGGGGGTTATTATAGTATCAATGTAGAGGGACTATAAGGAAATACTATTTGTAGCGATTCCGACCCCTCGAAAGGCGAGGCTCTACATCACGAGGACATTTGTTCTGCCGACACCGCAAGCCATTCAGAAGCCAATTAAAATAAAAATGTCACGAGGGAAGCGGGAAAATGCATGGAAAAACGGCTGAAGACACAAGAACAAGGACAAGAATAGCAGTAAAACACAACCGAACTCTAATCCCAAGCGGATTGCACCCCTTTGTTTGGCACCTTTGTTTGCTTGGAATGGGCACCCCCCGTAGCTGTGACAGGTGTCCGGGAGCGGACGGTGCATAAGGACCAGGCTGCATTTAAGCCTGACCATAGGCGCGGACCCGCCCACCGCGCCTCCCCCCTCTTGCTTGGCTTTCGTCATGTTTTTCCACTGGCACATCTATACATGAGTCCGCATGTTGCAACGAACTTCACAGCGATCTGGTTTGGGTTGCCTCGCCGCTGGGCAGGCCCAGGCCGAGGCGGGCCGCGTAGCGATGATTAATGCGGTGGGAAAGACACAAAATGTCAAAAACCCAGACCAAACACCAAACACCACATTCAGGTCGTTCTGCTCGTACAGATCCTTCATACAACTCATGCCAAGCCCTTCATGAACTTCATGCCCTCTGCTGGGCTGTACGGGCACCTAAAACATCAAAATCCGCTGAGTATCAAAAACAATGCCCAGAGGGCAGAACCACGTCCTCGGCTTTCTTCTTGAGGTTGGGTTGAGGTTGGGCAGGCGAGCACACGCGTAAAGCACAACACATGGATCATACATAGCGAGAGTATGACATCGCATGACAGGAGGGGAGCCTGAGGGCCATGGCAGTCGAGTTGGAGCAACCGGTTCTCGATCGCGTCGAACTCGTCCTCGGCTCCCAGCTTCCCTCAAACTGGGCGCTCTTGTATCAGCTGAAGGGCATGCTACTTACTGATCTGAAGGCATTCAGCCCAAACCCTAAACCCTAAACTCGGAAGCAGCGCTCTCCAAAACTTGTGATTTGACCCTGCAAACCCGGTGAGTTTGGGCTTCTTGCCCCAGAAACCCAAGAGTCCCACCAACGGCTCCCGCTGCCAGACATCCCCAAAACGTGTTGCAATCCCCGAAACAGATCGTCAGAATAACCAAGGAAAGGCCCGCAAAAGCCGAGGGCACTTTGCGAGAAGGTTGAAAACCTTTGTGGAGGGGTGGCTTCTCGGTGTGCCCGGCACTGCCACCCCTCAAGCCCTACGGAAAGCAGCAGCTTAAGGTTTAGAGGGCATGTTTGGGGCTATATAAGGCTTCTCGCGGCTTCGCTCCCTCTTAGGGTTTAGGGTTTTGGGTTTAGGGTTCAGGGTTTAGGGTTTAGGGTGTAGGGTGTAGGGTGTAGGATTTTAGGGTGTAGGGTTTGGCCCAGCAAAGGCTCCTGGGTAAGATTGCGGAAGCTGGTGAAGTAGGCTCGCGGGCTGTCCTCAGCGCTGCGAAAACTCTTCAAATCTAGGGGGTTCTAAACCCTAAACCCTAAATCCTAAACCCTTAGGCCCTTAAGGTTGTACTCTTGGGTTTGGGGTCCCTTGCTCAGGATCCCTAAGGGCATATGAGGGCCATATTCGGGGAGGGGGGGGGGGGGGGGGGGGGGCATATTGAGGGGGCACATTAAGGGGGTACAACCTTAGGGGTACTAGTCTGAATCCCTTGATCAAACTCGCCTCTGTGAACTTTCCGACCTGTCCTAGGACCTCAAAGGAGAACGACCCGATTCCGTTTGGAAAGAACGCGGAGCCCCGAAACCATCCGAAGCCCCCCGAACCCCAAGCGGCGGCCCTGAATCCGAAAATCCGACGAGGGTTTGTTGGGGATCCGCCAGGCCCCCAGCCCAAAGCCCTCAAAAACCCGAGCACATGCGGGCCAGCACATCAGACGGTGCTGCTCGGGGATGTGAGCCCCAGATGTGGTCTTGAGATCTTAATACTCTGCTCAAGAGTTCTCACCAGCACGAACGCTTGCGATTAGCACAGGACGAATTCATGGGCAAGGTTGGGGGGCCTGGCGTCCGTTTTCGGGCTCCAATGAGGATCCCCCCTTAATAACCTTAACTAGGCTGGATTATCCCTAAATGGCCTAAATTAGGGAGGGAACCTAGGGGGGTAGTATAGAGGGGCAGCCCTCACCCCAAGCCCTATGGGGAGCTTGGGGCATCTTCGGGCCCAGGCTCCTCCATGTTGGGGAGGAAGTACTTGTGTGGCATGCCTGAGCCATGTGCGATTTCGGGTTTAGGGGGTCTAGGGCCCTAAACCCTAAACCCTAAACCCTAAACCCTAAACCATGGCTTTAGGGCTTAGGGTTTAGGCCTCCCATCCACTCTGTGGAGGGGCAGCGGAGATCGCAGGACAGAACAAGCAGGCATAGAATTATATGGGATAGAATAGGTTGGGATGTTCCCCCTTGTACTAACAGCCTTAATACGGATTATAGTACCCCCTATTGTAAGCCCTACTAAGGACTGCTAGTATAAGGGTGAACATGCCAAGAAATAGGTCTTCATCAAGCTAGAAGGAAAACAGAATAACAGGCCGACAGGGCTAGAAAAAAGAACTCCAACACAACAAACTCACAAAAGGCACGTCTACAAGATATCGTGCGTCTTCTTGCAAAATGTCTCTTTGACTAGCTTGCCCAGCTTTGGATAGCAATACAAACTACTGTCCACCTGGCCCTATGGAGGACATAAAGGTTTCCGAAAATTGGGGTAGCCTTTTTGGGGGTCCTCTCTTTAAGGGCATTCTCTTCTATTTGGGGTAAGAAGGGGCACCCCTATTGTTGGGGAAATACCCGGAGAGCGCAGGCGAAGCAGAAGAGGTGCCTGTCTCCACCTCCTCCCAGAACTCCACGTAGGCCTCCTCCTTGTCCGGGTGCTCCCTGTGGTACAAGATGTAGCGGTTGAACTTCAGATCAGGGTCGCTCGGATAGGAGGTCGTTCCGACAGCCGAGATGACGAAATCCGCCATGTTGGCCATCTGGTTCTCCTCATCTTTCGACTCACGCGTGCTGCAGTAGGTTGGGTGGCTCTCATTGAAGACCTGCTTCTGAGAGAACATGCCGGCTGCGAAGTCGTGCAGGGAGATGAGGGACATCAGCGGAAAGTTGGGCCACTCCTTTGGGCTGCCAGGGCCAACCATCTACTATCGGGGGCCTTGATGATTAGAATGGGGTTTTGGGGTGCTTATTATAGCAGAATTATAAATGGACCATAAGGGAATACTACTAGTACTTATTCCGACCCCTATATTCCGACCCCCAAGTCAACCTACCCCCCAAACGGCCTTAGTTCCGTTTCCACAGCTCCCGCACCTGAACCGTCAGAATCCTATCAGCGCCCATTGCGTAGACCTCCTCCCTCGCCTTGATGAAGTTGCCCTTCACGAACTGCTCCATGGCGTGGGGGTCTTTGGCAAAGCCGGGCAGCTTGATCATCGAGCGGTTGCTCTCGTTGCCGGTCAGGGCTTCCACTTCGGAGTAGCAGGTCGGGCCTTCCAAGAAGGGGTCAGGGATCCCTGCGCGTGACGAATGCTTCTGTCTTTCTGTTCAGATTGGTAAGCTTCAGTGCTTTGGGGATAAGCGCCTTCGCACATCTGATAGGTGTCGATGCTGAAGGAGAAGGGAGGGTCCAGCTTTCTCAGCGGCTTCACCTTGAGCCCGGCATCTCTCTGCTTGCAGGGCTTTCAGGAGAAAAAGTCTACAGCACGCGCGCACACACACACACACAGAGACACACACAGAGACACACGGACACTGCCCCCTCACGGGCCTGTCTCAGAACACATCACCCCCAACAAACCCTAGTTGACGCCCAGTAAATCCCCATAAACCCAACAAACCCCCTTCAACGCACCGAAAAAGGGGGGAAGGGCCTGGCTCTGACACTTGTACTCATACTCGGCGATGAAGTTGAACATCCCGGCGATGTCCGAGCCGACGCTGAGGCGCCTTCCCCCGTCCACAGCCTCGGTAGCCCAGTAGGGCTTAGGGTTTAGGCTTTGGGGTTTGGGGTTTGGAGTCTAGGGTTTAGGGTTTAGGGTTTAGGGTTTAGGGTTTAGGGTTTAGGGTTTAGGGTTTAGGGTTTAGGGTTCTTAAACAGGGAACCCACTGGGCTGCCAAGCAGCCAGCGGAACGTCCTCCTGGAGGTCGTAACCTGAGCAGCGGAAACTGCCTCCTACGGAGGCCAGTGCCCCTGCACTACACAAGTCAAGCAGACCGGAGAACGTCTTCAGAAAGAAGATCCGAGAGCGCCTTAAGAATAGCATGCTCAGCTCAACCCGACGTGCAACGAAGAGCCGAAACGCCTCGGGTTTTAGGGTCTAGGCCAAGACACCGCGGGAGTTCATCTTGAGGACAAACTCCTCCGTGACCAGCAGCTCGGTGTCATCCAGCATGATGGATCCGTGGATCGTTTCGAGGTCCACGACACTTCCTGAGAGAGTTTCGGGTTTAGGGTTTAGGGTTTAGGGTTTAGGGTTTAGGGTTTAGGGTTTAGGGTTTAGGTTTTAGGGTTTAGGGTTTAGGGTTTAGGGTTTAGGGTTTAGGGTTTAGGGTTTAGGGTTTAGGGTTTAGGGTTTAAGCTTGGGGGAGTTGGTGGGGGAGTTTCGGGATGCTCTTTCTTCCGGCTTGGGGCGGGCTTGCTAGCAGTTTTCGGGCTCAGGGTCCAAACTGGCAGTCGCCCTAAACCCTAAACCCTAAACCCTAAACCCTAAACCCTAAACCCTAAACCCGTGAAGGGGCATCCCAGCGGGCGGTTTGAGGGCACTTTGTCATCTCCTGGTCTTTGTTGGCCGTGGAGTCCAAGGCTTCGGCGGTCCGGCGGCACTTCCCTAAAGTCCAGGGTAAGCCCTAAGCCCTAAACCCTAGCCCTAAACCCTAAACCCTAACCCTAAACCCTAAACCCTAAATCCTAAGTCCTAAACCCTAAGCCCTAAACCCTAAACCCTAAACCCTAAACCCCACACCGAAACCCTAAACCTTAAACCCCAAAAAAATCGTCGGGGACTCCACAGCGGCTCGTGGGAACCATGCGCCGCTCGAAGCTGGAAACGTCTAAGGTGACCTGCTTGAAGGTTCATGAGTAACTAGGGTTTAGGGTTTGGGGTTTTGTGGCTTAGGGCTTAGGGTTTAGGGCTTAGGGCTTAGGGCTTAGGGCTTAGGGCTTAGGGTTTAGGGTTTAGGGTTTAGGGTTTAGGGTTTAGGGTTTAGGGTTTAGGGTTTAGGGTTTAGGGTTTAGGGTTTAGGGTTTAGGGTTTAGGGTTTAGGGTTTAGGGTTTAGGGTTTAGGGTTTAGGGTTTAGGCGTTTAGGGTTTAGGGTTTAGGGTTTAGGGTTTAGGGTTTAGGGTTTAGGGTTTAGGGTTTAGGGTTTAGGGTTTAGGGTTTAGGGTTTAGGGTTTAGGGTTTAGGGTTTAGGGTTTAGGGTTTAGGGTTTAGGGTCATATGCAAGGTAAGCCGCGTTATTACCTGAATTAGGCTTTTTAGAACTATACCCCACTTGTATGTACACATGAATCCTAAACCTTCAGCTCTGAACCCTAAGCCCTCGCCTGAATAATTAAAATAGGGTTTGGGGGGTTTCTTGCGGTATAATGATAAAGGGACCGTAAGGGGATTCGTCATTATTCCGACCCCTAAAGCCCTCAACCCTAAACCTTAAACCCTAAACCCTAAACCCTAAACCCTAAACCCTAAACCTCTCCCCCGACCCCCTTTCTGAGCCAGGCTGCAGAAACCAGCTCGCCGTTCTGGTGGGGAAGCTGCAAGGTGAGAGACTTCAGCTCCTCGGAGGTACCCTAAAACCCTAAACCCTACTTAAAGCCCAAACCCTAAACCCTAAACCCTAACCCTTAACCCTAAACCCTAAACCCTAAACCCTAAAACCCTGCCTTTCTGACTCGTCCACTCCCTTAGCTTCGTTTTCCTGGTGCTCCCCGTAGGCCTTTCTATGGCCAGCCGCCAGGTGAGGATGCACGCGCGCACCGATGTACGCAACGCATGGTGGCATGCCGTGCCATACATACAACGACGACCGTTCTGCACCAATCCCAACCCCAAGCCGTCCTCCTAAAACCCCCAACTTGGAGGTTCATGGGTACTGATATGCAGGGTCACTATGGTCATGACACACAATAGGGTCCATATAACCCTAAGTACCCATGAACCTCCAAGAAAACACTTAACCCCAAACCCGAAGCCCTAAACCCTAAAGCCTAAACCCTAAACCCTGAACCCTAAACCCTAATTAAACCCTAAACCCTAAACCCTAAACCCTAAACCCTAAACCCTAAACCCTAAACCCTAAACCCTAACCCTAAACCCTAAACCATAAACCCTAAGCCACCACAAGGCCAAGCCCCTGCCTCGAAGACCTTCTCGGGCATGGTGGAAGTGAGCTTCTGCGAGTCACGCTTCGTGGGCCCCGTGGACAGAGGCTTCTCGCAGGTCTCCTTGGGGTCAAGGTTCGAGGGTTTAGGGTTTAGGGTTTAGGGTTTAGGGTTAGGGAGTTTAGGGTTTTTAAAGTTTGGGGCTTAGGGTTTAGGGTTAAGGGTTTAGGGTTTAGGGTTTAGGGTTAGGGGGTTTAGGGTTTAAAGTTTAGGGCTTAGGGTTTAGGGTTAAGGGTTTAGGGTTTAGGGTTTAGGGTTAAGGGTTTAGGGTTTAGGGTTTAGGGTCTAGGGGAGATTTTTGAGGTTCTTGGGGTTTGGTGGGTTTGGGGGGGTTTGGGGGTTCTGGGGGGAGGGGGTGGGGGGTGGGCAACCTGGATGAGTTTGAGTCTTCAGGTCCAGCTTGAGGTCTTTATCAGAAAGCCTGAAAGCTGCCCAACTATTAGCCCCCAAAACCTAGCATTTCCTTTTACTGAGAGCCCTTGTTTGGGATTCTAGTACCCCGATAATAATCCCGATCAGGACTGCTAGTCTAAGGGCGAACACCCCAACCCTAGCATCGACAATGTCTCGCGTAGGAATCGCGGAGACAAGTTTGGAAGGGAGAAGCTTGAACGTCACAGGGCTCCAGCTCTACTTGGTGAGGGCTTGTGCTCTTGTGACTGGTCGGCCATATGGGGAACTACCTTGCCGTCAGCAAAACAAAAAGCAACAATGCCGAGGAGGAGGAGGAGGAGGAGGAGGAGGAGAGAGATGGGATGAGCCTTTGAAATCGAAGCCAAGTACCCTAAACCCGAAACCCTAAACCCTAAACCCTAAACCCTAAACCCTAAACCCTAAACCCTAAACCCCCTAACCCTAAACCCTAAACCCTAAACCCCCTAACCCTAAACCCTAAACCCTAAACCCCCTAAACCCTAAACCCCCTAAACCCTAAACCCCCTAAACCCTAAACCCTAAGCCCTAAACCCTAAACCCTAAACCCTAAACCCTAAACCCTAAGCCCTAAACCCTAAACCCTAAACCCTAAACCTTCACAAGCTGGGGCAGCCCAGAAACGGCGCCGTCGGCGCATGACGTGGACACGGCCGTAAGGGCACCGCTGCTGCTGACGGTCATCTCCTGAAACACGGGGCAGAAGCCCATAATGGACGGGGAAAGTGCTCCCGAAACCCTAAACCCTAAACCCCCTAAAACCCCTAAACCCCTAAACCCCGTAAAACCCCCTTACACCCCCTAAACCCCCCTTAAACCCCCTTAAACCCCCTTAAACCCCCTAAACCCCCTAAACCCCCTTACTAAACCCCCTAAACCCTAAACTCTAAACCGGAAGTTCTAAAAATTTGGGTGTTGCCCACGTGTTGGAAGCAGGCTTCTCGGGGTTTAGGGTTGAGGGCCCCCTTTTGTGAGAACGGGGGAAGGCCATGAGGCAGCTTCTCCAATTGCGGGCTTTTTTGGGGTTCTCTTGCAGCTCCGCTGGTGTCTGCTACAACCCCGAGTCTTCTGCTGCCTCCGAAGGTATGAAAGCTCAAACTTCTGCTCTTCCACATATGTCCACTTAGGGTCCTTGGTGATTTGGATGGCCACGACGGTCGCTCCCAAGCAGATCAAGAGGAACAAGATCATGAGAATCTGAGCTGAGACCAGGGTTTAGGGTTTAGGGTTTAGGGTTTAGGGTTTAGGGTTTAGGGTTTAGGGGTTCGAGGGAGGCTATTTGGGGCTTCCACTCATCAACCTGCCTACCCTGGAAAGCACGACAAAAAACCCGAAAAAAAGGCCACAGGACTTAAGGGGCCCCCTACACACAAGCCCCTCTTGGCGTTCAGGGTCTCGTATCGAAGGCAGACGTGGCGCGATCACGGCAAAGAAGGCCTTCATCACAAAGCCGTGGCTCTTCTTGAGAGCCTTGTGCTGGTTCACATACGCGATCAGCTCCGTAACATTCACCTCCCAAGCACTTCACGTTCCGGAACAGCTTTCAGAACAAAAAAACCGTCCTGAACACAAGGATGTAAATACGGCTTACACAACAACCCCAAAGAAGACCTCAGAAGATCCCGCAACTCAAGAGGGGCTCCCAATCGAGCAGCCTTTGGCCATTAACCCGCCAAAACCCAAACCCTAAACCCTGAAACCCTAAACCATAAACTAAACCCGAAACCTCCAGAATCTACGCATCCAAAAGCCAAAAGCAAAATCGGGAGAGAAGAGGGGAAGAGGGGAAGGAAACCCTGGAGTGACCGTCCCGTCGCCATCGACGTCAAACTCCTTCCTGGGGGCCCACAGGTTAGAATTTCGGGTTTGGGGTTTAGGGTTTAGGGTTTAGGGCTTAGGGTTCCAGGGTTTCGGGTTTAGGGTTTATGGTAAAGGCGCACCATGTTGGGGGGTTTGATACTTGATAAGGGAAGCTGAATGCAAGAAAGTGAAAAGGGTACCAGCGGGCCACCAAGCCCTTCCAACAAAACAACAGCCGTAAACCCTAAACGCCAGACACTAAACCCTACACCCTAAACCCTAAATCCTATACTACAAAATACTACAAAAATCAAACCATCGTAATAATCATAATAATAACAACAACAATCATAAATAATAGTAAGAACATTGATAGGAATCGTGATAATCATAATCATAATGTGAATTACTACTTTTCTCTTATTCTCATTATTCTTATAGGTAGAAATTAGCTAATAATAATCATGAAAAGAATCATCAGAATATTAATAATAATAATCATAATCATAATAACAAAAATAATCATCATAATAATAGTCAGAATAATAAGAAAAAAAAGTGCCCTCGAGGGTCTTGGCATCCTCGGGGAGGTCAAGGTCCGCCAGGCTGATCTTCACGGAGGAGCGCTTTCCCTCTGCGGGTTTAGGGGCTTTGGGGTTTGGGGGTTTGGGGGTTTGGGGGGTTTGGGGGTTTGGGGGTTTGGGGTTTTGGGGGTTTGGGGGTTTGGGGGTTTGGGGGTTTGGGGGTTTGGGGGTTTGGGGGTTTGGGGGTTTGGGGGTTTGGGGGTTTGGGGGTTTGGGGGTTTGGGGGTTTGGGGGTTTGGGGTTTTGGGGGTTGAGGGTTGAGGGTTGAGGGTTTTGGGTTTTGGGCTTGGGGGGGTTTGGGGTTTGGGGTTGACTGGGGGGGTTGGGCGGGGTTTAGGAGGCGCTTGGCCGACAACGCCTGCGGTCAGCGGATCGTGGGGGTTGCGGGGGGGGGGCGGGGTTTGGGGCGGTTTTGGGGTTTGTGGCTCCAGCGTTCAGGGTTCGCGGCTCTAAGTTTCTCAGGGCTCCCCCGTTTTGGGTTTGGAGTGCTGCTTCCCGAGCCCTCTCTGCCCCAGAGCAGGAAGGTGGAGATTGTCCGAGAGGTGTTCAGGCTGCTGGCAATGCTTCGGGGTTTCGGAACATGACTTTGAAAAGTATTTCGTGCCCTTCTGGAAGCCTCCTGAAAAACCTTGGCAAGGAGCAGCAGGAGCACCCTGCACCCTAAACCCTAAACCCTAAACCCGAAACCCTAAGTGGCTTGAGCCCCGAGTCTTAGCATCACTGTCCTTGTGGTGGACTTCCTGATGCTGGACTGCAGGCACCGCGATGTCGGTCTTGTGCTCAGGCACAGCCGTCACTTCAGACGGGGCAGCGGCGTCGGAATCCTGCAATCACCCGGCACACGCGCTGTATGAATGTATGTATGTATGTATGTATGTAGGTACATCTGTCTCTGTCTCTGTCTCTATGTCTTTCTATATCTCTGTGTCTGTCTCTGTCTCTATCTCTATCTCTATCTCTATCTCTATCTCACTCTCTCTCTCTCTCTCTCTGTCTCTCTCTCTCTCTCTCTCTCTCTCTCTCTCTCTCTCTCTCTCTCTCTCTCTCTCTCTCTCTCTCTCTCTCTCTCCCTCTCTATCTCTCAACCCATCTCTCACTCTATCTTTCAGCCTATCTCTCACTCTGTCTCTCAGTCCATCCCTCACGCCCCATCTCGCAGTCTATCTCTCAGTCTATCTCGCAAGTTATCTCTATCTCTAAGTCTATCCCTCAGTCCACAGCTCAGTCTATCTCTCGGTCCATCTCTCTATCTCTCGATGTCTCTATCTCTCTCTCTCTATCTCTCTATCACGCTCGCTATCTCTCTATATATCTATCTGTGGGCCTGCAAGTGTGTTCAACTTCAGCTGAAAAGGAAGACGCATGAGCGCAGAATGGTCGGAAGAGCTTGAGGAGCGAAATGAAGCTCACATCCGCAGGCACGAGCACAAAGGCATGAGTGGACGTCCACTGACATGTCGAGAATAGTGACATGAATCTGGCACCTGTTTGAGAATCGAAACGAAACGAAGAACTTGAGCAAAAACTGTAGTCTTCCACCAAACGCCTCAGACATGGAACGCATTTCAGACGGAAGAGAAGAGAACGACGTCGGGGCATGTTCGGCAGAAAACAAGGCTGACACCATGACATTCACAAACCAACTAAGCCCTCAACGCCCCTTTGCCCAAAACCCAAACACTAAACCCTGGGTTTAGGGTTTAGGGTTTAGGGTTCAGGGTTTAGGGTTTAGGGTTTAGGGTTTAGGGTTTAGGGTTTAGGGTTTAGGGTTTAGGGTTTAGGGTTTAGGGTTTAGGGTTTAGGGTTTAGGGTTTAGGGTTTAGGGTTTAGGGTTTTAAGGTTTAGGGTTTAGGGTTTAGGGCTTTAAGGTTCTCTTTTGTCAGTGGCGCTCTCCTGCTTGTCAGCAGCAGGCGGGGCTGCATCGTCCGCCGGCTCCCTGCGGCCCGGAGGGCAGGAGCTGCGCGTTCTCTTCCGGGGCTCTCTGATTGGGGTTTGGGGTTTTGGGGTGTTATGGTTTTAGGGTTCTTAGGGTTTCAGGGTTTAGGGTTTGGGGTTTAGGGTTCAGGGTTCAGGGTTCAGGGTTTAGGGTTCAGGGGGTTCAGGGTTCAGGGTTCAGGGTTCAGGGTTCAGGGTTCAGGGTTCAGGGTTTAGGGTTTAGGGTTTAGGGTTTAGGGTTTAGGGTTTAGGGTTTAGGGTTTAGGGTTTAGGGTGCCTGTACTATGACCCGTATTTCGGGCAATGCTAACCTCCAAGCTGGCTTAGGGCGAGGCCCCCGAGCCTCATGTCGTATGGCACTTGCGTTATCTCGACGTGGTCCTGAGGGCGAAAGCTGGGTCAGAACACGTCGGCTTGGGTTCCCTTAAAGGCCAGCCGCTCTGTTAACATATCGGAGCCCCATCTGGCGACATTGCAACGGGCGCAGTCCTGCGCCTGGGAGGGCGTTAAGGCCTAGCGAACGGTAAAGCGAGAGGGAGCAACTCCAAGGAAAGGGCCAAAGCGCTTTATCGAGCATCGATTTGCCCAGTACGCGGTTCACGAGGGCACCAGGGCACTAGACCACTGGGGTTTAGGGTTTAGGGTTTAGGGTTTAGGGTTTAGGGTTTAGGGTTTAGGGCTTAGGGCTTAGGGCTTAGGGCTTAGGGTTGAGGGTTGAGGGTTTAGGGTTTAGGGCTTAGGGCTTAGGGCGTAGGGCTTAGGGCTTAGGGCTTAGGGCTTAGGGCCGATGTTTGGGAGGCCCCTAGCTTGAAGCGGCCCACGCCCGCACGCAGCGCCGTCCTTGGCCACTTCGTCCTCGCGCGTTGCCAAGGGTTTACATAGGGTCATTCGGGTTTTAGGCTACCTAGACCCGAAACCCTAAACCCTAAACCCTAAACCCTAAACCCTAAACCCTAAACCCTAAACCCTAAACCCTAAACCCTAAACCCTAAACCCTAAACCCTAAACCCTAAACCCTGCCCCGACACTCAACCACGGCCCCACTGTCCCACAGAGCCGCTTCGGGGGACAAAGCCCTTCTGCGGCTTTAGGGGTTTTAGGGGTTTGGGGTTTAGGGTTTCGGGTTTGGGGTTTGGGGTTTAGGGTTTAGGGTTTCGGGTTTAGGGTTTAGGGTTTGGGGTTGAGGGTTTAGGGCTGCACCCTGCACCATACGTCAGAGACATCAGGCGGAACCGCGAGGTCCTGGCAGCCGCACTGCATAAACCGCAGCTCCAAATCTGAAGTGTGCGGTGGATGGTTGCCTTTGGCTTTGGGGGAGCCGTTTAGGATTTGGGGTTTAGGGTTTAGGATTTGGGCTTTAGGGTTTGGGGTTTAGGGTTTAGAGTTTAGGGTTTAGGGTTGAGGGTTGAGGGTTTAGGGTTTAGGGTTTAGGGTTTAGGGTTTAGGGTTTAGGGTTTAGGGTTTAGGGTCTGCGGGTCGCATTGCGGCTGAGGGTCTTAGGGGCGGGAGCTCGGAGCTCTCGCGCTCAGGTCCCGAGTTTAGGGATTTGGGATGCTGGGGCCAAGGATGCAGACAGGGTGCAGGCACGGCGCGGACGAGGCGGATCGGCAGAGTCGCTTGGGCCAGATGCCCACCCCGATAGGCCGCTTCAGTCTCGCCAAACCCTACACCCTAAACCCAAAACCCTAAATCCTAAACCCTAAACCCTAAACCCAAACCCCATTCAGCTTCAGCACGTGCTCCTGCGGTCACAGGCTGAAACCCTGGTTCGGGAGGTTTCCTCCAGAAACTGCATTAGGGTTTAAAGTTTAGGCTAATGTAGGGGCTACTTAGGTATTAGGGACCATATACTGTATCTCTGGGGGTTAAATTTGTCTAAGGAAGCAAGATTCGGGATTTCCTCCCTATACCCCTCAATTTCCACCCCAAAGTACAGACGGAGAGGCCCTAAACGGACCAGAAGGCCGAGAGGCCAAACCCCGGGCGGAACTTTCGGACAACACTTTGACAACATTTTTTCGGACCCAAACGTTCTGCCGTTCCTGTCTGCTCTAAACCGCCCTAAACCCTGAGCCCTAAACCCTCCCTAAACCCTAACCCCCTATAAACCCTCTCCCCCCACTTGAGGCTGGCGGCCCTAGCACATAGCCCAGAAGCGCAGCCACAAAGTAGCCGGGCCTGGCATCTACATGGCAGCTCTTAGACTCACCCTAAGGGAACCTCCAATTAGGGGCATGCCGTTCTCAACCCCTAGAAAGGCCTCTCAGCCCAAGGTATGGCCCCCCAAAAGCCCCCCAAAAGCCCCAAAAGCCCCCCAAAAGCCCCACAAAAGCCCCACAAAAGCCCCACAAAAGCCCACAACACTCCAACGATACCGCCTAGCAAACCCTTAATCCCAAAGGCTGAAACCAAAAACCTACAGCCCTAAGACCCCCACGCCCTGTACTTATAGGGTTCTGAAGGGAGGGGGCTTCATGGGGGGTAGGTACCGAGGTGCTTAGGGAAGCTTAGGGAAGCTTAGGGAAGCTTAGGGAGCCTTAGGGAGCATTAGGGAACCTTAGGTTACATACCCCCCTTGAACCCTTCTCCCTTAAGAACCCTATAATAAATGATATAAAGACCGAAGCGAAAACCGCCCTTTTGAAAACACGGGTTGCTGTCACTGTGATTTTTGAGGTAAGGATATTCTTACTCTAGCTGCTGTTATTCTTACTATGGTTACGACTACCAATCTTGTGCTCCTATTTCCCAGCGTGCCCACTGCCCCTTGACTAAGGAACAAACATACTCCTGAATTGCGGGGTCTAGGGCTCTCTGGGACCCTAAACCCTAGACCCCAGACCCTAAACCCTAAACCCTAAACCCTGAACCCTAAACCCGAAACCCGAAACCCTAAACCCTAAACCCTAAGCCCTAATCCCTAGTACTGCAAGGTACTGCGAGTCGTCCCCATGTGCCTGCTCGCAGGATCACTCCGCAAGTCCCGGCGAAGAGCCTGCTTTTCGTGGGGTTTTGGCCGAGGGCTTTGGGGCTTCGGGGCCCAGGGGGCCTAGGGGCTTAGAGTTTAGGGTTTAGGGTTTAGGGTTTAGGGTTTAGGGTTTAGGGTTTAGGGTTTGGGGTTTAGGGTTTGGAGCTTATGGCTTAGGTCTGTCTCATGGCTTGATCTCCGTCAAGCACAAGCGCTTTCACATTTCGAGAGAAGCCCACACTGAGATGTCTTCATGTCTTTGATCTGCTGGCTTTGGGCGCAAACTGCAGGTTTGAATCTATATGCTGGTTTACGACATTCGGGGCTACCTTATTGGGGTCCATATCATAAGGGGATCCTACTATTTGGGGGTCTCTATTAGGGGTTCCCTATTTTCGTAAAGCCCCAAACGGCACGAAAGAGTTCCGAAGTCTTCCGCAGGCTTTATTGATGACTGCCTTCATGCCTTTTGTGAACATTACCTGTCACATCTGGCACGCGTTTCTGCTACTATCAGCCCATGCAACCAAAAAATGAATACCTGCTGGTTTTTCACACATCTCAGGTGAGGGTGTACACAAAACCCGAAACTCGGAACCCTAAACCCAAAACCAACCCTAAACCCTAAACCCGGAACCCTAACCTGAACCACTGAATCTGTGCCCGGCACCCAACCAGCCAGCACCGCCGGAAAGACGAGGTCACCGAGACCCAACACATCCTCAATCAGCCAAATCAGGGTTTAGGGTTTAGGGTTTCGGGTTTAGGGTTTACGGTTTAGGGTGTAGGGTTTAGGGTTTAGGGTTTACGGTTTAGGGGTTAGGGGTTAGGGGTTAGGGTTTAGGGGTTAGGGGTTGGGGGTTAGGGTTTAGGGTTTTGGGTTGAGGTTGAGGTTGAGGGTTTAGGGCTTAGGGCTTCGGCTTTAGGGTCCTGCTGCCGAGTCTGCTGCGTCTCTGTTTTTGGGTTGCTGTGAAGGAACTTATCACAGAAGAGACCCGGAAACCCCTACATCGCCCTAAACCCGAAACCCGAAACCTAAACCCTAAACCCTAAACCCCAAACCCTAAACCCCAAACCCCCCTAAAGGTCCCCTACTTTTCGGAACCTTCCGCACTCACCGAGGCCCGCTCGCTGGCACGATTGCCCAGAACCACCTGGGCATGGAGGCTCATGGGTACAGGTACGTCTAAGTAGGGTTTAGGGTTTAGGGTTTAGGGTTTAGGGTTTAGGGTTTAGGGTTTAGGGTTTAGGGTTTAGGGTTTAGGGTTTAGGGTTTAGGGCTTAGCCCTAAACCCTAAACCCTAAACCCTAAGTAGGCCTCCAAGTATAGAGATGCTCGTTGCAGGGCAGGAGCTGAGGCTGATATGGGGAAGTTGGGAACTTGCCGGAGCCCCTTGTTAGGGAGGGACCCTAAACCCTAAACACTTTTTTGGTTAGTTTTTTGGAGGGGGGGAGAATAAACCCTAAACACTCTATTTCTTGTTTGGTTTTTTTTGGGCGGGAGGGGGGGGGGAGGGTTCTCTTTCATAAGGGAGCCTATCATGAAGACCCTGCAGAAGGAGTCCTGCTATCAAGATCATCCTGGTGGCCGACCTACATTCTTGAATCGATTTTAACACCTTCCTTAAACCTCCCGAATAGCCTAAACCCTAAACCCTAAACCCTAAACCCTAAACCCTAAACCCTGCAGGTCCCTCTGAAAGCAAACACACCCCATCGGGCCTCGAGGAGCCCCGGCCTGTTCGGCGATGCGAAGTTCTTGGGCTTAGGGTTTAGGGTTTAGGGTCTAGGGTTCAGGGTTTAGGGTTTAGGGTTTGGGGTTTAGGGTTTAGGGTTTAGGGTTTAGGGTCTAGGGTTTAGGGTTTAGGGTTTCGGGTTTAGGGTTTAGGGTTTAGGGTTTAGGGTTTGGGGTTTAGGGTTTAGGGTTTAGGGTTTAGCGTTTCGGGTTTAGGCGATTTAGGCGACTTAGGTTTAGGTTTAGGCGGTTTCGAATTTGTGGCTTCAGGCGTAGAGATGGGTTGTGCGTAGGACTCAGGGCAAGCTGAATGAAGGGTTGCGGAGCCCATTGGGGGGCTCAGGCTCGGGCTACTGCGCCTCCAATCCCGGCACGCCGCGCAAGCTTTTTTCGAGCGCGGAATAGCTGGAGCTCAGAAGACTTCCTCAACCATCTCGCCATCAGGCGAATCATTGCTGACGGAGTGTGTTCTCGGGCGCAGGTAGGAAGAGCCAAGGCCGAAGCTCAAGCCATAGCTGTTGGTGAAGCAAGCAGCAAACCTGGTGCACCACATGCCGCCTACATGATCTGTTAGCCTTATGGTCCAGTAGGCCCTAAGAACTGGTCCAGTAACACCTTAACAACTGCAAGTGGGGGAGCTACAGTACTACCGGGGCCAATGAACCCTAAACCCTAAACCCTGAACCCTAAACCCTAAACCCTAAACCCTCAACCCTAAACCCTAAACCCTAAACCTGCCCGAGCGAGCAACTCATCTCGCTCATCGTCTCGATCCCGCCCCATGAGGATGGACGCGCAGCGCGACGCAAGAGGCTGAGAGTCCCCATCCTGCAGACGCTGGGCAATCTGTTGCACCCTCAAGTCCAGTTCGACTGCGGAAGAGGAGTGGGGTGTGAAGACGATTGCCACCTCCTGGAAAACAGCCTTGATGATCCTGAAGTAGGAGGCCGTGTCGCCATTCTCGATGCCCTTCGCGATCTCTCGGAAGGAGGCCAGGGACGGAAACTGGAACTCATCCGAGACCAGAATAGGCAGAATTGCACAAAAGGTCAAATAGCTTGCCTGCATCAGCCACTCGGCAACTTGCCTGGAAGCCAGACCACCGTCGCTGCAGACCAGGACGGCACAGACCGCTTCAGTCGGAATTGGCTGGTCTGGCATGAGAACGGCAAGCTTGAGGCTTGCAGAACCCACCAGAAAGGGGGCCAGCAGGTCGTAAAGCACGAGGGCCGTCGACACGGCCTCCATATCCTCAGGGTTCGCAAGGATCACTGCATCCACGTCCTCCGGTTTGGAGTGGCAGGAGCCTTGACAGATGCTGGTGCCCGAGGTCTGGGTGAGGCTGGTGACCACCTCGTTGATGCTGTCAGCCTTGGGGAGCCCCAGCAACCATCTTCTCATGAGGGTTACCGCTTCTGCTGCTGACTGCTTTACAACTTTACAAAGGGAACTCATGTCCGAAAAAGAAGTGAGCAAAAGGGTACCACTGAGAACCTGCCCGAGCAGCGTTGATGACACTTAAGTCGAGCGATTCCAGTGTCCAGAGCCACCTCAAGGTGGCATTGACCTCGGGGAGCCCGATGCCCAGGCCTGTACTGAACTCAAAACCCTAGCAAAAATGAAGTTCTTATGCTGTTTCTTAAGTTTTTATGCTGTTTCTTAAGTTTTTTATGCTGTTTCTTAGGAGTTATAGTACCCAAAAATTTAAAAAAAAAAAAAAAAAAAAAAAAAAAACTCTTTCCAAGTGCCCCTAAGAGGCTGGACAGGTCTCTGATGTCCCCCACGGCGTAGGCGTAGTGCCTTATGAAAGCATCATCCGGCCTCGGAGGGCCCTTAAGACCCTCTGAAAAAAAACTACTCCTAAACCATGATCCTCCTAAACCCCAATAAAAGGGAAGATATAGTATTCCCAAACCATGATCCTCTTAAGCCCCAAGCAAAGGGAAGAGATAGTATTCCTAAACCATGATCCTCTTAAACCCAAAATAAGGGGAAGATAGAAAAAATCTCCCAAGTTGCCTATATTCCTAAACATGATCCTCTTAAACCCAAATAAGGGGAAGATAGAAAAAATCTCCCAAGTGCCCTACCTCGTGACATGGTGAAGCCGGGCAGCGCGACGAGAAGGCTCGAGATGCCCTGCTGCCTCGCGGTGACCATCTCACCTCGGGGTGGAGACCGCTGTCTCCCCCAGCCATCTCCGGGTTTAGGGTTTAGGGTTTAGGGTTTAGGGTTTAGGGTTTAGGGTTTAGGGTTTAGGGTTTAGGGTTTAGGGTTTAGGGTTTAGGGTTTAGGGTTTAGGGTTTAAAGTTGGGGGGGGGGGGGGCACTTTGGGAAAGCCAGAACCAGAAACACCCTCGATGAAGACCCTGTTAAAAAAAAAAAAAAGGAACAGCAAAAGCAAAGCTGCAAAGACTCGCAAGCACTTGGAAAGGGCCGAGTTACCCACGCACCACTTCCTGGACAGCACGGCCGGGCTTCCAAGAATGATGACTTTCCCCACGTCGTGGGCGACATGGTTGAAGAGCTTCGACAGGTCCTTCAAATCGTCCGAGTCGATGAAAGTCGTGAACTTTGCTGCTCGATGCTGGATTTCAATCTTGAGCAATCTGGCCAAACTGCCAGCTGCCTGTTTATGGTGACACATGAAAAAGGCAAACCGCTTGTGGGTCTTGGCGATAAGATGTCCTAGAAGACCATACAGGCTCACGAGCATGAGCGACGTCGAGACAAGCACGGCAATCACCACGCACGCAAGCATGGAGCTGTGGCTGTCTACAGAGGGGACAAACAGGGCACCGATGTCAAGGATCGTGAGTGCCCCAGCGTGCATCAGGAGGTCCAGGTGGGTGCTCAACCGCACCCGCCACGGCTTCACGTAGGCAGAGCAACACAGGCTAAAGTACAAGATGAAGTTCATGGTCAGCATCCGCGCCGTCTCCGAGGGCAGCAAGGGGCACAGGACAATGAGCAGGTTGCGAAACAAGAGGAGTACCGCAAAGCCTTGGGCGCCGGGCCGAAAACGCATAGCCAGGAAAGACCACGCACGCACGAAGTTCGCATCTGCAGCTCTCACCTTGCGCGGGAACTCGATCACAATCACCCAGGCACACATCGACAAGAAAGCCAACGGGACCAACAAGGCGAATGCCCCGAACAAGCACATCTGCAGATGCTCCCCTTTGCCATCACAGAAAACGTCAGGGTAGTCATCCACCGTCTGCAGGCCATTCGGATGCCCACGGCAGCGGAAGGGTCTCAGTAGCACAGAGCACGCCGCAATGAAGAAGAGAACTCCCAGAAAACCGAAGGAGCGACCCAAGAGGCGGAGGGGGACCTCTTTCGACCTTTGCACCCGGCTGTAGCAGACGTGTGTCAGCCCTAGGGTGCCCACAAGGACGCATGGGAAGAAGCAGGTCTGTATGACGAAAAGAAAGGGTGCAGAGAAGTCGGCAAAGCATTGTACAGAGCTGAGGGAGCTGAGCAGCACGTCGAAAGCAATAACCTCGAGCATTTTCAGCAGCGTCAGGAAAGGCTCACCCCATTTCACTCCAAACTGACTGATCACGTACAGGAGCTGCGCAAAGGTGACCACTTGACCCATGCCTATTCCAGCAAGGACCAGAGGCCGCGACTGGCTTCGGTTGCCAGCCCAAATCATCACCATATGCCAAGACACAGCAAACACCAGTAATGCGGCTCCGATGAGGCACGCCACGATAAAGTCGTTGCTGTGGCAGGCCACACATTCACCGCGGACGCGATCTTCGCGCCAGCCCGGCAGGCATCTTGCGCAAGCAATGCTTGTGTTGTCCCGGCCTTGCAGGCGCAAGAAGGAGGGGGGACCACCCCCCTACTTGGAGGTTCATGTTGAGATGTTCCCCCTTCTACTAACAGTCCTTGCAAGGGAATACATAATCCCCCCCTACCTATAATCCCTATTCAGGACTGTTAGTATAAGGGGCCACATCACAAGGTTCATGGGTTACTGCCCAGAGGAGCCTCTGGGCGCAACCCTCCTTTAGACTCTAAACATCATAGGCCAGTCAGTATAGTCACATGCTCAGCTCAACTTGTGACCCATGTTTGGGGTTCACCTAGAAGTTTAAGGTTGGGGTTTAGGGCCTAGGGTTTAGGGTTTAGGGCTAAAGTAGAACCATGAGACCCAAAACCTTCTCACCGGAGAAAAGCAAAACCCGAAACCTTTTGCCACCCGCCTCGTGCACAGGAGCCGGGCGCGCCACCAGGGCAGCGCTCGGGGATTTCGAAGCACTCCTGGGGTTTGGGGCTCAGGGGCGGAAACCGGAAGAGTTTAGAAACCCTAAACCCTAAAGGAGTGGGGTTGTTTGTTTAAAAGGGGCCCGAGAGGGTGCCTGTGAAGAACTTCTGACCCCAAGATCCCCTTGCTCACAGCAGACCTCGTGAGTTAAGGTATATAAAGAGGGACCCCCAGAAGGGACCCTTAATGTTATTGCCCTATATATATATATACATATAATGTATATGTATACATTATACCTGAAATAGCATGTATATGTATACATTATACCTGAAATAGCTCCTTTATACCTTACTGGCCCGTAAATTTTTTTGGGCACATCAGCAATCAGCCTCACGAGCCTCCTTATACCTTACTGGCCCGTAAATAACCCCTACATAACCCCTAAGGTCCCTTATAGAAAGGGTCCCCCATTTAATCCCGTGAGTGAGCCACCGAGCCACCGGAGTGAGCCTAGGAACATTCTGGGGTTCGGGCCCAGCAGCCGCCCTAAACTCTCAACCCTATGTGGAGCCGGGGGGGGGGCTCCGAGTTTTTTCGGGGCTGGTAGTACAAGGGAATCCGAGTATTTGGGCCCCCTCATTTTCGGAGACTGCCTAGGCCAAGGCACTCGACGCAGCCATTGCAATCATGGGCTTTCTCGTACCCCAAACAATCGGATTCTGCAAGAAAGAGGCCCAAAATTGAGCCGCGAAACCCTAAACCCGAAAAGCCCGAAAACCCGAGACCCGAAACCCAAAACCCCCTGAACCCAACCCAGGGGCTTTGGGGCCTTCTGGGTTTTCGGTGCGGGTCCTAGGTTGTATGGCTTTAAGGGCTCTATTTAGGGATTAGGGTTTAGGGTTTAAGGTTTAGGGTTTAGGGTTTCTAGGGTTTAGGGTTTCTAGGGTTGTTTGTTTAGAAGGGAACCTTTGGTCCACGGAAAGGGAAAAGGGTGCCACTGGGCTACCCAGGGTTTAGGTTTTATGGGTTTTAGGGTTTCAGGGTTTAAGGGTTTAGGGGTTCAAGGGTTTAAGGGTCTAAGGGTTTAAGGGGTTTTAGGGGTTTAAGGGTTTAAGGGTGTTCAGGGTTTAAGGGTTTCAGGGTTTAAGGGCTTAAGGGTTTAAGGTTTTGAGGGTTTAAGGGTTTAAGGGTTTAAGGGTTTCAGGGTTTAAGGGCTTAAGGGCTTAAGGGTTTAAGGGTTTAAGGGTTTGAGGGCTTAAGGGCTTAGGGGTTTGAGGGTTTAAGGGCTTAAGGGCTTAAGGGTTTAAGGGTTTAAGGGTTTAAGGGTTTAAGGGTTTAAGGGCTTATTTGCTTAAGGGTTCGACACGGGGTGCCAGCCGAGATTCGAAGACGTCGCCCGGCTGGTGCCAAGACGCGTAGAAGCCTAAATACCTTACATCTCAAAACAAACCAAAGAACACAACATTACTCCTACAAAATCGGGAAACCCTAAACCCTAAAGCCTAAGGACTAAACCCTAAACCCTAAACCCTAAACGCTAAACCCTAAACCCTAGACCCTAAACCCCAAACCCTAAACCCTAGCTGCCTAAGCAAGATACAGCTCAAGGCGTCCCGAGCCAGGGCAGTCGGAGCCCGGCGGGCAGTCCTCCACTGGGGCGAGTCTAGGGTTTAGGGTTTTAGGGTTTAGGGTTTAGGGTTTAGGGTTTAGGGTTTAGGGTTTAGGGTTTAGGGTTTAGGGTTTGCAGGTTTGGGGGCCTTGTAGGGTTAAGGGTTTTAGGGTTTAGGGTTGAGGGTATGCAGGTTTTGGGGCCTTGTAGGGTATAATTAGGGTACTGGGTTTGGGGTTTATAGGGCTTGGGAGGCGTTTGGGCTTGGGTTTGGTGTTTACGGTTTCTCCGCTAGAGTTGTGTGAGCCCCTGAACTCGTGGACGGTTTCATAAGCCTTGGGTGCGTTTTGGGGACTTAGAAATCGGATGGTGTAGGGTTTGGGCATGAGGGATGGTGGAGGTGATCCCTAAACCCTAAACCCTAAACCCTAAACCCTAAACCCTAAACCCTAAACCCGAAAGCCTAAAGCCTAAAGCCTAAAGCCTAACCCTAAACCCCAAACCCGAAACCCTAAACCCTAAACCCTCAACCCTGAACCCCGAACCCTGAACCCCAACCCAACGCAAGGCGTCCTTGCACAAGCCGCCGTCGAGGTAAGTTCCGTCAACGCAGCGGCAGAGGCTCTGCGAGGCTGCCCCTCGCACCGGGACCCACACCTCCCCGGTCGACGTGTTCAAGAACTCACTGGTGGTCCAGCGGCGGTCGCCACACCTATACTGAACTTGAAACCCTCGGAAAATTACATGTGTAGCTGTTTCTTCGGAATTAAAGTGCCCAAAAACTAAACAAGTATTTCCAAGTACCCCTAAGACACAGGGTGCACTCCCTCAGCCCGGCTCTCTCAGCGAAGGATCCCGGGCCGCAAGGCTCGCAGGCTCGGGCACCAGCCGCTGCTGCAATACTGCCTGCTTCGCAGGGCATGCAGGCCGTCTCACTGGGCTGATTCCTGATTCATGGTTGGGATAGTACTAAAATGTTAAGTTGTTATTCCTTATTGGGTTTAAGTACCCTTTAGAATGTAAAATGTTACCCAACTATGACAAAGATTCTGGTAGCGGCCGGCCTGGCACTGAGCACACCGGCGCGTGCTGCCTTTCGCATCATCGAAGGCCTCTGAAAAGGTGCCTGCTGGACAGATGCTGCACTGGGCCGCCCCAGCGCGGGAAGCTAGGAACAGGCCTTGCTTGTCGACAACCCCGAAGCCTTCTTCACATTGAGTGCGCAGGGGCACGGCCAGGCGCCAGCGGCTATCTCGCCGAAGCCAGCTGCAAGCCACCTCGTAGCTGCTGTTCCTGTCCAGGTCTCCAATAGCACTCTGGACATCATCCCGGTCGAAGGTCAGAGCACTGAGGGTCGCGTGCATCAAGGGGCTCTTCTGCTGCAGGTCGGCGCTGACCAGCTTCAGAATCTGCGTGGACGCCGGCTCGGTGCGGCGGTTGCCCTCGGCCCACTCTGCCGCGCTGAAGCGCGGGAAGAGGACGACCTCCGGGTTCATGGCGATGAAGGTCCCATCAGGGATCCACCAGTAGAAGAGAACCTTGAGGCTCCTTACGTAGTACTGGTACCGCTCGAAATCCCCAACGATACCGAGGGCAACAGGAAGCGCATACGCAGCCGAGCGATGCATGAAGGATGGGAGCAGCCAGCCATAGCTGCCGCTCGTAAGAAGCGGAATGCACTCTGAGATGTCGTGCCTACATGCAGGAGCCGGCCACCAGCGGTTGTCGTGACACTTGGCGACGTACTTCGGGGAAGTTGTGCCACCGACTTCCTGCACTCCTGCAACATCGCCACTCCAGCGGACGTACTCGGCAAGTATCTCATGCTGCACCCAGTTCGATCCGGCCCTGTCACACGCAACCATGTCTGGCTGTAGCACATCATCCACGCTGTCGAACAAGGCTCGCACAGCGCCGGCATGGGAGAGGCTCGCGTTGTAGGTCCGGTAGTAGTCCAGCGTCAACCCCGAAGATTGGTACGCGAGGTCTTGGATCTCGCGCCGCACGAAGAGATACTCCTCGCCCACAAAGCCGATCCCTCCCAAATCCACCGGGACAGACTGGGGAAACCGTTCTCCGATGTCCTCTGGCGCGTTCTGCAGCGCCGAGGTGTAAATGTCGAGGGCCACGTGGAGCCGTGTCTCTTGGCCGCAGCCCTGAGAACTGGCGGCCCCTTCGTTGAAGTCCTGGCAGCCCGCCAGCGCGTACAGAGCATTCCGCGAGCCCGCGGCCCTTACGGGATGGACGTGCGTGTGGTATCCCAACACCTCGGTGGTGATGATGGCTGCGAACTGCGTCATCAGCTGTGCGCTGGACCAGTCGCATTCTACGAAGCCGACCGGGATGTCGACACCCTCACCGGCTTTCAGGAAGTATCTGTCGGCCTCAGGGATTCCATCATCCAAACAGAGACTGCCTGCACATGTCAAAAGAGAGGATATCACGGACCAACGTTGAAATGCCTTGGGCATTCAGTGACCGCGATACCCAAAGAAAAAAGCTTCACAGCATCAGCGATACCATTAACAAGCATGCGTTCGAGCCGTCATTGCTCTGACAAGCCGTGCAACTACAAAGTTCAATCGCCAGCGGATGCAATCAAACTGTTTCAGAATCACGAATACTGATAATGACAGTAATAATAACAATAATATCAGTAGTAACAGTCATGACAATGATAACAATAATAACAATAATGACAATAATAACAATAATGACAATATAACTAGAATAACAATACTGACAATAATGCAGAAGCCATAATAATAAGAATAATAATAAGAAGAATAAGAATAGTAATAATAATGATCATAAGAATAATAGTAATAGTAATAGTAGTAACAATAACGAACAATAGTTAACAACAATATTAACACCAGCAACCACAATAATAGTAATAATAACCCGGATGGTAGCAAATGTAATGATAAGAAGAATGATAATTAGAACCATCATCATCACCACCACCACCACCATCACCATCAACATCGTCATCATCATGGCGGTAATATTGAATCACTAACAATATAGATATACCTACATGTATATATGCACATGTATGTATATATTTACATACACATACATATACATATACATACACATATACTTATGAATTTGAGCAAAGGCAGAAACAATAATCTAGACAGAAGTAGAGGCGACGATATAAATAGAATCATATCGTAAGCTTAAATATTGATGTACTATATATATATATATATATACAAATGCAAAGCTAGGCAGATGAGGAGAATCTGAACAACTAGTTCTAACAACTAGCCCATGGAGCTTGCAACCGACGGATTTGTGCCGTTGCCTCCAGCTCGGAAGAGAACTGTCTGACGTGCCAAGCTTCGACAGCGCCACCTGCATGCATGCGCTTCATCCCCTCAACGAGTAGCGAGTTTAGGGTTCTAGGGCTGAAGGTTTGGGGCTTAGGGTTCAGGGTTTAGGGCTTAAGGGTTTAGGGTTTAGGGTTTAGGGCTTCGGGCTTCGGGCTTCGGGCTTCGGGCTTCGGCGGTGCTCCACCCCTCTCAGACGGCCTGAGCTTCGAGCAGCCCCGGACCTCAGCTAGGATTCTTGCAGTTCTCTCAGTTATGGTCCTTTGGCTCCGTCTGAGGGCACGGGGCTCCTAAACCCTAAACCCTAAACCCCAAACCCTAAACCCTAAACCGTGAACTGCTTGGAGGTTCATGGGTACTTGCAACTAGGGGTGAGAGGTGCCCTCAATACGGTTGTGACCATAGATACCCCACTTACGACCCTGCTTGAAAGTACCCCTAAACCCTAAACCCTAAACCCTAAACCTTAAACCCCAAACCCTAAACCCTAAACCCTACTTGCAAGTACCCATGAACCTCCAAGTGATGGAAACGCCAGAACTCCGCAGCCGCGACCGCCTGAGCCATGGCGGACGAAGACACGGCGCCAGGTCCTGGCAGGGTTTAGGGTTTAGGGTTTAGGGTCTAGGGTTTAGGGTTCAGGGTTCAGGGTTCAGGGTTCAGGGTTTAGGGTTTAGGGTTTAGGGTTTAGGGTTTAGGGTTTGGGGTTTAGGGTTTAGGGTTTAATTTCGAGGGTTCAGGGTTGGAGGTTTGGGGTTGAGGGGTTTAGGGGTTTAGAGGTTATGGGTTTTGGGTTTGGGGTTTAAGGTTTAGGGTTTAGAGGTTGAAGGTTTTAGGGTTTGAGGTCTAAGGTTTAGGGTTGAGGGCTGAGGGTAGGGTTGAGGGGCTTAAGGCTTTTGGGTTTTCGGGCTTTCGACCCGCCCGGCAGGGTCACGAGCCACCAGGGAATCGGAACTAGTTGTTTTGCCTTCAGTCAAAAACCCTAAGCCCTGAACCCCGAATCAAGCCGAACCCTAAACCCGAACTCTACTAAACCCTCAACCCGAAACCCGAAACCCTAGACCCTAAACCCTAAACCCTAAACCCCTTCACCCCCTTAAGTCCTGAGCCGCCCCCCAAAGCCACAACGAGCCAAGGGCCGAAGGTACTGAGCGCGTCGTACCTGGCCGAGTTCGGGGATGCAAGCTCAGGGGGGATGCTTCGGGATGTTTCGGGAAGAGGGGCTCGGGGGGCCTTCACTTTCGAGGGTGCCTGGGCCTTGAGATGTCTTGGAACTTTGGGGGCTTTGGGACTTTGTAGGCTGTGGGGCGATGATGAGCTTTGAAGGCCCTCAAACACTCAGCGCACGCTGCCACGCCGAGAAGAAGCAGCACCACCGTCTGAAAGCGCGGCAAGGCCAAGGCGCGCCTGGAAGAGGTAGTAGGGTTTAGGGTTTAGGGTTTAGGGTTTAGGGTTTAGGGTTCAGGGTTTAGGGTTTAGATGTGACATCGCTTCAGCTACCAAGAAAAGGATGTCCCTGAAGCCTGAAAGCGCTGAGGCCCTGGCGAGGTGGCGATCACAATGCACAGGTTAACAACTCGGCGGTTTAGGGCTTAGGGTTTAGGGTTTAGGGTTTACAAGTTTAGGGTTTAGGGTTTAGAAGTTTAGGGTTTAGGGCTTAGGCTTTAGGGTTTTGGGGTTGGGGGGATGCGGCTTGCTTCTTGATACAGGAGCACCATCTTGCAACACGTGCTGCCAAAGGCTTTCAACTAATCTCCTGCAACAGCGCCCACCGGCAGACATGGTGCTCTGCTTGTGTGGCAAGCGCGCGCAATGGGTTTAGGGTTTAGGGTTTAGGGTTTAGGGTTTAGGGTTTAGGGTGTAGGGTTTAGGGTTTAGGGTTTAGGGTTTAGGGTTTAGGGTTTAGGACATAAAGACTCAAAAGCGGCCGTCGTCTCATCAATTGAATGCAGCGCCGAAACGCTAAGCTGCTGTTGCATTGTCGCTGCCACTATGTCTGATCATGACTCTAAGCGTCATTGCACCCGGCTGTTGCTTCATAGCCTCGCCCAAGAACCCTATGGGTTTTAAAGTTTAGGGGTACCCTCCATCGTGTTCCTCTCTAAACCCTAAACCCTAAACCCTAAACCCTAAACCCTAAACCCTAAACCCTAAACCCTAAACCCTAACCCTAATCCATGAAGAGTGAACTCTGGGATGCAAGCTGTTCTGCACGGGCCAGGCCAAGGACAGAGGGAGAAGGAAGGCTGCTCCAGTGCCGGCCGCGGCGATGCCTGGCGTTTTAGGGTTTAGGGTTTAGGGTTTAGGGTTTAGGGTTTAGGGTTTAGGGTTTGGGGTTTGGGGTTTAGGGTTTAGGGTTTAGGGTTTAGGGTTTAGGGTTTGGGGTTTGGGGTTTAGGGTTTAGGGTTTAGGGTTTAGGCTTTAGGCTTAGGGTTTAGGGTTTAGGGTTTAGGGTTTAGGGTTTAGGGTTTAGGGTTTAGGGTTTAGGGTTTAGGGTTTAGGGTTTAGGATGCAGAGCTCCCCAAGAGGGCTTCCAAACTGACGGGACGAACACGGACGGTGGCAACCACGATCCTCATCCGTGCAGCAAAAAGGAAGCATGACCAATAAGAGTAAGAATAGTCGTACTCCTACACGCATACCCTCATACTTTCGTCGTTGTCGTGAGAGAAGAATAAGAAGAAGGCTGCCGAAGGTTTTATGAAGCCGGGGTCCCTGCCCAGGGCAATGGCGCCTGCGGTGTCCTCCTGGCTCGGATACAGAGGCGGCCAGAGGTCCCCTTTTTCAAGGCTTGGAGCTCTGGGTTTAGGGTTTAGGGTTTAGGGTTTAGGGTTTAGGGTTTAGGGTTTAGGGTTTAGGGTTTTGGTTTAGGGTTTAGGGTTTAGGGTTTAGGGTTTAGGGTTTAGGGTTTAGGGTTTAGGGTTTAGGGTTTACGGTGTAGCAGTGGTCAGCTGTACGCAATTGTGTGCAGACATGCCCACCCCAAGACCACCCAAACACTACTCACTGCGAACCAAACCGGAGCCAGCCCAAACCAAGCCGAAGCCATTCAAAATTCACACGTGACACATGTTTATCTGATGCCGCAGTCATGGCGGCAGAGGATACCCCTCCCCCTTCAGGCTGTTGCGTAGGGGACGGTCTGAACCGAAAGGCCCTCTCATGAAATTCCGGGCCGTGAAAGGTTTCCGATTTTTGAGGAGTGCCAAGGTCGCTTGAAAGGCAACTCCCTTGCAAAAGGAGCCGAGAACGTTTTTTACAGGTGAAGGAGCGGGGTCGTGAGGTTTTGCGCAGGGGACGATCTGGGCCGAAGGGCCCTATCATAGAAAATTTCAGGGCATGAGCTGGTCTAGTTATCGATAAATTCGGGAACGCGTGTCGCGAGATCTTGCGCAGGGGACGGTCTGCGCCCAAGGGCCATCTCATGCTCCCAACCCCACACCGGCCAGGGCCAGGGCCAGGGCCAGGGGGCCAGAGGGGGCCAGGGGGCCAGGCGGCCAGGAGAGCCAGGGGGCCAGGGCTCAAGGTCAGGGTCAGGGCCAAAGGGCCAGGGGGCGGCCAGGAACCGGGTCAGGGTCAGGGCCAGGGCCAGGAGCCAGGGCCAGGGTAGGGCCAGGCCATGGCAGGGGCCAGAGGGCAGGGCCAGGGCCAGGCCGACCCAGGCAGGGAATTGAAAAAGGATCCCCCCCTGGTAATACAATACATCTCAGTGCTTGGCGACCAAGCTTGGCGACCCTTTCAGGAGTGTGCCTGGCAGGCTCTGCAGCCTAGCAGAGCCTGCCGTGGTCTCGCTGAGCGCTCGACTGCGCCCGCCTACCGCAACAGAGGTGAGAGGGGTGGCGGGCGGGTTTAGGGTAATGACTTTATAAGGGACCAGTACTGGTCCCGAAGAGAACGTGCTCCGGTACCGGGCCCATCGTGGGTGAGTCGGCTTGCACCATCGAGGTCGAGGGGCTTAGGCGGGCGGCCTAGGCCTTGAGTTTAGGGCTCAAACTCCCCGAAGTGTTAAGGGGTCAGGTATTCACTCACGCTGCAGATTTTTGGGACTGTATGCAGTTCGGGGCCCCTAAGCCCTTTACGACACACTACCATCCCAGCTGAGGATAAGTTCAAGGCAGGGTTTAGCGCTTATCGGGCATTGGGTTCAGAGTCCCTCTGGGATCCTGATGGCCCTTGTTTACCTTGTCTGAACGTACATGGAGACTTCCGAAATTAGGGGTACCTTATTGAGGTCCTGATTAGAAAGGAATCCTACTATTTGGGTGTCTATTTAAGGCGTCCCTTTATTTTCGCAAACTCCCACATGTCGACACGGGGGCGGGCATGCTCCTGCTATCACACTGGAATGTCGCATTGGCCAGAACTATTCGCACCAAAGCAAGCCAGTGAGCCATCGGCCAGCAAAACAGAGGTGTGCGAATTTCCTGCTGCGACGGCGGCAACTGCACCTAAATCTGCAGGCACGGTGCACTGGCCAGAATAATTCCTTCCGCAAACCAGTCGGCCGTCTGCCTGAACAGCGCAAGTGTGCGAGTCTCCTGCTGCCACAGCCACAACTGCACGCAGATCCGAAGGCACAGCAACTTCATTGCTACGGTTAGGCGAAAGAAGTACAGCAAACGAGTTGGCCATCCGCCTTTATGGCACGGATATATATATATATATATATATATATATATATATATATATATATAATATATAATATATAATATACTATACTATACTATACTATAATATAATAGAATAGAATAGAACAGAATAGAATATAAATATAAATGTACGTATATATGTGTGCCATACCTGCTGCCACTGAAACCACTGGACCAAGATCTGGAGGCACGGAAACAATATCGCCGAAGCAAACGAGGTGCCCGTTGGCTTGCATGGCGCACGTGTAATAATACCCTGCTGCAACAGCAACAACTGGGCCCAGATCCGATGGCACATCGCACTGACCATGGTTGTTGAAACCGAAGCAAACAACCTCCTGCTGCTATGGACTCGACCGGGCCAAGGTTCTCAGGCACCCTGCATTGGCCTTTTAAGTTGTAGCCAAAAGCCACAAGCTGACCATCAACAGTCAGAGCACAGGTATGGCCGTAGCCTGCAGCCACAGCCACAACCGGACTCAGGTTGGGAGGTACGTTGCACTGCCCATACTCGTTCCACCCAAAGCAGACAAGCTGGCCGCGCGTGTTCACCGCACACGTGTGACGAAAACCTGCTGCTATGCGGGCTCCGGCCAGGAACTTCAAAACCCGGCTGCCAACCTCGACAATGCGTGCACGTCGCATGACGATTGGCCTCCCCTGATTCCGAGGTCTGCCATGCAAGCGAGAATGCGGCTGCTGTCCTGATGATGGAATCCGCACACCCCGTGGCAGCCACACCGACATGTTGCCTTTCCTCTACCTTGAGGACCAGATGAACCCTTTTAGGGTTTATGGTTCAGAAACCTCACTAGGGATGATGATAGTAGTACAGGGTGTATGGTGCCAATGTTAGGCTTCATTTGGTCCCCAAAGTACTTCTCTGGAAGTCCTGGCGCGTACATCAATGGGCTGCTGCATGAACACCATCGATGCGTGCACGTGCAGAAAGACCCTGAAACTCTCAGCTCTTGTGCTGCTTTGCATGTGAACTTTGGGAACACAGCCTCTGGCTATCTGAATCCTACGCCATCATGAAGCATCCCCTCGACATTCCCGCGCCCCAAAACTCTAAACAGAACCAGACCCGCAAACCCTAAACCCGAAAGGGGGGCATTTCCCTCAATGGAAGACCCGAGTATACACCCCGAATGAATCCTTATCTTGGGAACCCCGAAACAAGGGGTACCCCCCCCCCCCCCCACCCCCCATTATCGGAAACCAGCATAAAAACCCGACAAACCCAACCCTAAACCCTAAACCCTAAACCCTAAACCCTTGACGATGGGGCTTTGGGGCCCTAGGGTTTACAGTTCAGGGCCTTGACTTTGGTGTGCGCTGTGTAAGGGCCTGTTAGGGTTTCAGGTTTTGGGTTTAGAGTTTAGGGTTTAGGGTTTAGGGTTTAGGGTTTAGGGTTTCAGGTTTCGGGTTTTGGGTTTTGGGTTGAGGGTTAGCTACATATCTTCAGCGCTGCTGAACCTGGTTGGGGGTTTAGGGTTGAGGGCTTAGGGTTTGGGTTTAGGGTTTAGGGGTAATCTGGCAATGAGCTCAGTCAATACCAGGGTGTGGGGTTTAGAGTAGGAGCAAGAGTGGAGACCCAAATCAACCCTTAGACCCCAAACTCCCCCTAAATTCCGCAACTCTTAAATCCTCAGCTCTAAACCCCCAAACCCCTAAACCCCTAAACTCCCAAAACTCCCTAACTCCCTAAACCCTAAACCCTAAACCCTAAACCCTAAACCCACGCATCGGGCCTTGAAGTTGCCGATCCTCTCGAGCGCCGCCCGGACTTCAACCTGGCAAATGGAACCAGAAGAAAAGGGCTTCAGGAGACCTTCTCAGTGCTTTGTGATGTTTGGGGTTTAGGGTTTAGGGTTTAGGGCTTAGGGCTTAGGGCTTAGGGCTTAAGGCTTGGGGCTTTAGGGCTTTGGGGCTCAGGGCCAGGGTTTAGGGGGTTGTATGATGTTCAGGGCCTAAGGCTTCGGGCTCAGGGATGCTTAGGGTGTTTAAGACTCAGCATGGCGCCGGAGGCATTTTCTCAGGAACACAACTTGGAGGTTCATGGATACTTGTATGCAGGGTTATAAGTAGGGGAGCTATGGCTGCAAGTTGTAAGCTTACTTAGGGTACGTATACCCCTACTTGTAAGCACCCCAAATCCCAAAACCCTAAACCAAGAAGCAATGCCTCCCTTTGGATCTGAAAGTGCGCGGCTCAGCTCGAGCCCTCTCAGGCAATCAACTTTGGATCCGGACAGGTGTGCAATCCTGGCGGAGCAATCCGTTTAGGGCTTAGGGTTTAGGATTAGGGTTTAGGTTTTGGGGTTTAGGGTTTAGGAGTTTAGGGTTTAGGGTTTAGGGTTTAGGGTTTAGGGTTTAACGATTGAGGTGTCTAGGGTCTAGGCTTTAGGGCCAGTGTCCCTAAGTCATGTTCGGGGCAACTACGACCCACCTCGATCCAAGGCAGAGATCTTGGCCATCTCCTCCGCTGACAAGGAATCCTTTGACCTGATCGCATTAGGCGCCCCTGTAGGATCCCTTAACGGGTATAAAAAGGGAGGATATTCGGTACCCCTCTTAGAACCCTTGCAGGAGATGTTCTGCGCACCCCTCAGAAGTGGGAGTGGTTTGTAGACTTCTGGCATTCAGCCTAGTTCCCGTTACCCCTTGCAGGATATATATATATATATATGTAGGGAGATAGAAGGGAACCCTATACAATCCTTGCAGGAAAAATAGAGACAATGCCTGAGAAGGTTCTTGGGACCCAAAGAATCGTCGGCCAAGCCACGCAGACAGGTTTTCGAGCATCCGCTTCTCATCTGCAGATCTTGGAACGATCACGATGTCCCGCTGCAGCAGCCACGAAAGAACCTGTTCAGGTCCAAGAGTGTGTACGAATGCCTTGTATCGCCTACTTTATACCCTTTAAAGGGAGTCTACTAAGAGCACCTTCTACTCTCCAAAGAGTTCTACAAGGGTATATCCCCTTTAAAGGGCTTAAGGGTTTTATTGGGCAGCTTATATCCACCTATTTTGTACCCTTTAAAGGATTCTGCGACCGTTGTGAAGGCAAATACGCAAATGGCACCATGTGAATTTGCTATGCCAAGCGGCGACCTGCCCAGGTCCTGGAAGGATCAGAACGTGAAAATGAATGCAACAACAGCCCATGCCATCTCTCTGCGTGCCGGCCCCTGAGCTGTCCTATGCCTCTGTCAGCTGCAATATCCCGGATGACGGGATCCTCAACATCAGGGCCGCCCGTTCACCAAGCATCAGCGGAATCTGGACACACCCACACACCCGCCTGGATCAGGTTCACCCGTCCGGCGGCCAGAGGCGAATATGCAGTGACCTGGCTTGCATGCCACCGTCAGAGCAATTGTAGCTGCAATATGTAATAGCGGTACCAGTAAAAAAGACACAGACACTAAGAAATAGTAATAGTATTATTTACACATGTACATATATATATATATAGCGAGAATAATATTGATAACCAAGATTAGGAATTTTCGTAGACCTGGGAATGCATCCAAATGAGAATAACCCCATGGGAACTGCTTAATAATAGTGGTAGTAAACCTATGGGAAGTGTTTCGGGTCTCGGGGTGTAGGGCTGCCAGGCCTGAATGCCGCGGCTCTGACAGTACTCCACGAGATCTGCTTGCACCTCGCATGTGCTTTTTCAAGAGCATCCGTAAACCCTAAAGCTAAAACCCGTAAAAACCCCTTGTCTGAGTGAACTCGGGGCCGTCGAGGGCGAACGCACCGAAGCCGGCAGGCGAGGGAGCTCCGGAGCCAGAGTCCTCCGGCTGGCGACAGAGCTCTGGTCCGTCAGGTCGCTTCGGGCAAATCGCGGAGCCCTCTCAAGAGAATCTCGACGGGCCTCCCTGCACCCCTCAGAGTTCTCGAAACTTGAAAAGCCTGAACGCTGCCAACAAGGCTTGGAGACCCTTCCAGAGGGAAAGTTTGCCGTCGAAAAGGGCTTCCAACACCAAACCTCTGACACCGAAGCCTCCCAAACACGTGCCCATGCCTCCTGTTTTCGCTCCCTCAGGCGCCCTGTAAGGTTTTTGAAAGGAACGCAAACCAATCCTTGGATGCTCTTGCCTTGGCAGCGCCTTCCAAGGGCCCCAGGTTGATGTACATCATCCCTTGCAACACCAAGGGGCGGCGGCGCCAGCCAGCCCCAACACCAAAGTTCAGACACCCCAGACACCCCAGACACCCCAGACACCCCAGACACCCCAGACAGCCCAGACACCCTAAACCCTAAACCCGAAACCCTAAACCCTAAACCCGAAACCCGAAACCCTAAACCCCAAACCCTAAACCCTGAAACCCTAAACCCGACAGACAGAAGAGTCTGAGGGAGACACCAGGTACGGATGCACTTCGAACTGGTTCATCATGGGCCGCACCTGCGGAGACAGACACACTCCAAGCCAACTTCAATGCGGCATCCTGCAGCAACCTAGGGTTTAGGGTTTAGGGTTTAGGGTTTAGGGTTTAGGGTTTAGGGTTTAGGGTTTAGGGTTTAGGGTTTAGGGTTTATCTGCTACACCTCCTGAGAGACTAATGAGGGTTTAGGGTTCAATTGGGGGGTTAGCGGCTACGGGCTTCTGGGGCTCAGGGTTCTGGGCTATAATTCGGGTGGCTTCGGGTTTAGAAGTAGCAGAGTCTATCGGGACTTTTAGGGGTTAGGCTATGTTGACGGATTTGGGGTTTCGGGGGTTCTGGTTTAGCGCTTAGGTTTGGGGTCTGGGGGTTCGTGGTTTCCGGGCGTAGGGGTTTCAGGGTTTCTGAAAGGTTCTGAGGCGCCCGAGGATTAAATTAGGGGGGCTAAGAGGCTGGGCGGTTTGCACGGCGTCTATCTAGCTGGGTCTAAATAGTGGGCGGTTTGGGGGCTTAGGGTTTTCTAGGGCTTGGGGGAAACCTTTAGGAAACCCCCATGGCAAACCCTAAACCCTAAACCCTAAACCCTAAACCCTAAACCCTAAACCCTAAACCCTAAACCCTAAACCCAAGCCTTAAGCCCTCTACAGAACCTCACTGCCCACCTTGCAGGTGGGCAGCAGCTCCTCCAGGTGGTCCTTCCTTGCTACATGGGATGGGTTTAGGGGAAAAGGGGTTTAGGGTTTGGGGTTTAGGGTTACTGGTTCAGGGTTCAGGGTTGAGGGTTGAGGGTTTAGGGTTTGGGGCTTAGGGTCTAGGGTCTAGGGTTTAGGGTTTAGGGTTTAAGGTTTGGGGGGCTTAACTTGAGAGGGGCCCGAGCGGGCACGCGCCCGGAGGCGACCCCGACCCTTTTGCTTTCGTTGGCAGACGCATGTTGAGGTTTGGCGGTTTAGGGTTTAGGGTTTAGGGTTTAGGGTTTAGGGTTTAGGGTTTAGGGTTTAGGGTTTAGGGTAGTGCGCGCAGAGGCTATGAGGCCCTGAAGGTCGGGCAAGAGTAAAGCGCCCTCTCAACTGCATCATAATGCAGGGCCACGGGAGATGACACCCTCCCGATGCCCCATGGCTCCATCGGAGCCCGCCTTCGAGACATAGGGGGGATGAGCTTCCTGGCCTTAAGAACGTGCTCACATTTAAAAACCTAAACTCAACCACCCTAAACCCTAAACCCTAAACCCTAAACCCTAAACCCTAAACCTAAACCTAAACCCTAAACCCCTCAGAAAGGATCCCGAAGTCCAAGGCACGTGAAGTTGGACACCTGGGTATGTCACTGACTGAGGGCTTAGGGCTTCGGGCTTCGGGTTTAGGGTTTAGGGCCAGTTTAGGGTGTAGGGTTTAGGGTTCAGGGTTTAGGGTTTAGGGTTTAGGGCCAGCGCTAAGAGTGTAAGGCTCAGGGTTGATGGGGCAACTCCACCACACTCCGTAGCTAACGCAGTCTAGACACAATGGGCTTTGTCTTTTCTAGGGTACCCATGACCCTAGAGTCGCTCCTCATGACATTAACAGAACGCCATGGAAACTCATGACTCCGACCCTCGGATGGGCCCTTAAAACACATTTGAGAGATGTTTCTGAACTCGATCCTCTTGAACCCAATAAGGAGAGAGAGCACAGGAAAGATCCCAAGGGCCTACGCTTCATGACTAGGATGGCCCTGAAGCACCCTCTGAATAACAATTCATGAAAACATCCTCCTAAACCCCAACAAGGGAAAACCCTTAAAAAAATATAATATATACTTTTAATTAATTAATTAACTTATTTATTTATTTATACATATATATATATATACACACACATATATATATATAAATCCCCAACGGCCTACACTTCATGATTGCCGCGGCACACCGATGGCCCTTGCCAGCTTCATCTCGTAAATGTGCTCCAGGGCTGACCACATCTCCTGCCCACCACCAGGCCCCAACACCCCCAAGGTCCAGGGTTTAGGGTTTAGGGTTTTGGGGTTTGGGGTTTGGGGTTTAGGGTTTAGGGTTTAGGGTTTCCCCCGAACCAATCGGGCATTTCCCTAAGGGCCCCCCGCAAAGAGCCCAAGAATCTTTACTGGAAGGATGCCACACAAAAGGATCCTCACGAAGAAGGAACCTGCGACCTCAAAATCGTGCCCACCTAAACCCTAAACCCTAAACCCTAAACCCTAACATTCCTGGGCAGCTCCCCGCCAGGTGCTGGGAGTCCTTGAGAGGGTGTTTGGGGCACCTTCGAGAGCTCCCTTAGGGACCACGAAGGAATCGTAGGGGAGCAGTGGGTTACTTGTCCCTCAACCTCCTGAACCTCCTAAACCTCCTAACCCTAAACCTCCTAACCCTAAACCCT